AAAAGAGGAGACTGAGAGGAGATATGATAACCATCTCCAACTATCTGAAGGGTTGTCACATGGAAGATGGAGCAAGCTAGTTTTCACCTGCTCTGGAGGGTAGGACCTGAATCATTGGATTCAATTTGCAATAAAGGAGATTCTGACTAAACATCAGGAAGAATTTTCTGACAATAAGAGCTGTTTGACAGCAGAACAGGCTCTATCGGAAGGTGGTGGACTCTCCTTCACTGGAGGTTTTTAAGCAGAGGTTGGATGGCTATAGATGGCCATCTGTCATAGATGGTTTAGCTGAAATTCCTGCATTTCAGGGGGCTGGACTAGATGATCCCTGGGAACCCTTCTAACTTTGCAGTTCTATAATTCTATGATATTCAAGTCTGATCTTCCCACCACACTCCTGCAGCAGGACTGATCATGAGAGGATTATTGTCTCCCTCATAAGACATCTAAATTTAGCAGAAATTAATTTTCTCCCAAAAATTCTCCTCAAAAATTCTTCCTTGAAAATTTGAGTTGAATATTCTGTAAATAGTATTTAAGAATCTGCAACTTATATTCTAAAGTAATATTTTAAACATCTTTTCACATCTTAGTTTAAGTCTGCCAAAACCAAAATAATCAAGGAGATGCCTACTAAAGCATTAGATTTTTTTTGTTGTTGTTAAAAATTTCACAGTCAAAATGCGAATATGAATTTTGCTTTGAGATTTCTCCTTCAAAAATGTGTATGGCAAAATTGGAAACATTAGTGATTTCAGATATTTGTAAATAATTTATTTCAGCTCCATATCCATCTTTGAATTCAAGTTTGTGTTTCTTTCCTGATGACCAGTTTTACTCCCCCCCCTTCTGAGACCCTGTAGCCGTGGGCAATTTCTGGCTTCTGTTCAGTCAATCTACGTCTCACCATGTGATAAAATTATTTGGGGAAGCCCTCACATGAGAATATCATTGAGTGTGTGCACGTTTGTTGGTTGCTGAAGAGAATTGTGTTCCAATGGACTATGGCACTTGTCTGGGCATGGTTCAAGGCCAAAACCTGTTTGGTGCATTTGGGAAAACATCACTGTCTGAGGTCCTTCATCATGTGCCCCTCCACAAAATTCCAGGAGGGTGGCAACATGATAATGGGCCTTTTCTGCAGTTACTCCTCATTTGTGGAGTGCTGTCCCCAGGAGAGCCCATTTGGTGCCTTCATTACATATCTTTAGGCACCAGACAAAAATGTTTCTCTATAGCTTGCCCTTTGGCTGATTGAACATTCTATTTGCTTATAGGAGCAGGGTTATTGATTTGTTTTCATTCTTGTTTTATTAAGTATTTTGTGTTCTCATTTTGTATTTTTATGTTCCGAACCGCCCTGTGATCTTTGGATGAAGAGTGGTATTCAAATTTAATAAATAATAACAACATAAATAATAATAATCAGCTCTCATCTGTTTAACATTAATCACAATGTCCTACTTCACCACAATGTTGTGAGGACAACAAGACTGAGATTGCAAAGCACTTCAGACGGATGACAACTGGACACTAAATAAGAAATGATGCAGCTACGGGAGGAAACAGTTGACTTATGTTTGCAACAGGAGCGAGAAACCTGATTGTTAGAAATTGTATTAAATGAAAGTTATTTGGCTGGATTTGGAAAAAGAGAGAGAGAAATTGCAAAGCACTTTAAGGCTCCATAGGCACATGATAAGCAGGTTGTCATTTCTTTTGCAGCTGTAGGAGTAGAGCTACTGAACTCACTCAATTTCTCTAGCATAAGGGTTGGTGTGTCTTTGGCATGAGGAGCACGTTTTTCCTTGCATTTCCTAGTGCCCAATATGTTTCAGAACAGGAATTCTAAAGGTCCTCACATCTCACCATGCAACTGTCCTGAGTACAGCTTTCAGCTTACAGAGAAAACCCCAGTGCAATCAAGACTGTGGAGATAGATGTCCCAGGAAGATGTGAACTAGCAACTTACAGGGTCCTGTTGCTAGTTCCTTGTCTGAGATGTGGTGATTTGTAATCTGACCACGAATGCGCTTTGCCAAAACTATTCTATCATTTTAGTATTGGAGGGGGAAACTACATAGGGAGGGATATGCTCTTTGTGTGTAGGAGGGTGATTCAGGTTTGATCTCTGGTGTCTCCAGGATGAAGTATCAAACAGCAGGTGATGGGAAAGGCTTTTTCGTGCCTTTGATCCCAGAGAGCTGCTGTCGTACTGTGATATACCCACACCATACATCTAAAGCACCATACACTTTTTAAAAAAAGTTTCTATTGAAATATGTTCATGGATTACAAAGGTACCTATAGCACCTCTGTTTTCAGTTCAGAGTCCTATCTACAGGTCAGTTACATTTGGTGTGAGACGTTGCTATCATAGGCATTGTGAAGTTGGAGAGGGGAGAAAGATGTGGGGAAAGAGAAGTGGGGGAAAGGGGGGGTAATGATTTTTCCTTCTTCTGCATAGTTATGTTAGTGTCATGTGGATAGGTTCTTCATCTATTCGTTTATTAGTTTTCTTTGGCAGTGAGAGAAATTGGGGAGCCCAGGGTGAGATTGATTGCATTGCCGTGATTACAGTGAGTTTTATTTGTGTGTGTGACATGGCAGGGTGTGTGTGTTGTTGGCTCAAATTAGCCATAGCAAATCATAGGCTGTCGGGGTGTGTGTGTTGTCTTGTTGTCTTGTTGGGCTGTGTATGCAACAAAGGGGAGCCACACCGAGGTGAAGGCATCCTCTTTTGTTTCTCCCCCAAAGTACCATACAGTGGTACCTCGGGTTACATACGCTTCAGGTTACAGACTCTGCTAACCCAGAAATAGTACCTCGCGTTAAGAACTTTGCTTCAGCTAAAGTGGTGCTTCAGGTTAAGAACAGTTTCAGGTTTATAATTACCGCCCAGTCAGTCTGACATCAATACCAGGGAAGATTCTGGAGCAGATCATTAAGCAAACAGTCTGTGAGCACCTAGAAAGGAATGCTGTGATCACCAATAGTCAGCATGGATTTCTGAAAAATAAGTCATGTCAGACTAACCTGATCTCATTTTTTTGACAGAATTACAACCCTGGTAGATGAAGGGAACGCAGTGGATGTAGCCTACCTTGATTTCAGCAAGGCATTTGACAAGGTGCCCCATGATATTCTTGTAAAGAAGCTGGTAAAATGCAGTCTTGACTATGCTACCACTCAGTGGATTTGTAACTGGCTGACTGACCGAAGCCAAAGGGTGCTCATCAATGGTTCCTCTTCATCCTGGAGAAGAGTGACTAGTGGGGTGCCACAGGGTTCTGTCTTGGGCCCGGTCTTATTCAACATCTTTATCAACGACTTGGATGATGGACTCAAGGGCATCCTGATCAAATTTGCAGATGACACCAAACTGGGAGGGGTGGCTAACACCCCAGAGGACAGGATCACACTTCAAAACGACCTTGACAGATTAGAGAACTGGGCAAAAACAAACAAGATGAATTTTAACAGGGAGAAATGTAAAGTATTGCACTTGGGCAAAAAAATGAGAGGCACAAATACAAGATGGGTGACACCTGGCTTGAGAGCAGTACATGTGAAAAGGATCTAGGAGTCTTGGTTGACCACAAACTTGACATGAGCCAACAGTGTGACACGGCAGCTAAAAAAGCCAATGCAATTCTGGGCTGCATCAATAGGAGTATAGCATCTAGATCAAGAGAAGTAATAGTGCCACTGTATTCTGCTCTGGTCAGACCTCACCTGGAGTACTGTGTCCAGTTCTGGGCACCACAGTTCAAGAAGGACACTGACAAACTGGAACGTGTCCAGAGGAGGGCAACCAAAATGGTCAAAGGCCTGGAAACGATGCTTATGAGGAACGGCTAAGGAGCTGGGCATGTTTAGCCTGGAGAAGAGGAGGTTAAGGGGTGATATGATAGCCATGTTCAAATATATAAAAGGATGTCACATAGAGGAGGGAGAAAGGTTGTTTTCTGCTGCTCCAGAGAAGCGGACACGGAGCAATGGATCCAAACTACAAGAAAGAAGATTCCACCTAAACATTAGGAAGAACTTCCTGACAGTAAGAGCTGTTCGACAGTGGAATTTGCTGCCAAGGAGTGTGGTGGAGTCTCCTTCTTTGGAGGTCTTTAAGCAGAGGCTTGACAACCATATGTCAGGAGTGCTCTGATGGTGTTTCCTGCTTGGCAGGGGGTTGGACTCGATGGCCCTTGTGGTCTCTTCCAACTCTATGATTCTATGATTCTAGGTTAAGAACGGACCTCTGGAACAAATTAAGTACGTAACCAGAGGTACCACTGTATATTTAAAGGATTCCTTGAAAGAATCCTAGGACCTGTAGTTGTTTAAAGATGCTGGGAATTGTAGCTCTGTGAGGGGTAGACTACAGTTCCCAAGATTCTTTGGGGGAAGTCACATGCTTTCACTGAAGACTTCTTCTGCATGAGAAAGAGGCCCCGTTCTTTACGTCCACACAGCCCCGATGACAGGCTCAGCGTCATGCAGGCGGTGATCACGCCTCACATGCACAATACAACCACGCCTCGATATGCACCAATGAGCACAGTCAACATGTATGGCGTGGGTGCGCCTTTTGTGGTCTCAAAAATGGTTTGGTTAATCAGCCAGTACAGTGGTGCCCCGCAAGACGAACGCCTCGCAAGACGGAAAACCCGCTAGACGAAAGGGTTTTCCGTTTTGGAGGCGCTTCGCAAAACGAATTTCCTATGGGCTGGCTTCGCAAGACGAAAGCCCATAGGGAAATCTCCGAGGACCTCTTTTAAATGCTAGCGGTGGGGAGCAAAGCCTTCCCCCTCCGGCCTTCAGAAGAGGTCCAGGAAGGCTGGCGGGGGCCGAAGGCTTTGCTCCCCACCGCCAGCATTTTAAAAGCAGTCCGGGATAGCAGGAAGCGCTTCCCGCTATCCCGGACGGCTTTTGAAGGCAGGAGAGGTCCGCGAAGCCTGGGCGCGCTGATCTCAGCGCGCGCAGGCTTCGGCATGCGGCTAACTCTCCGCAGCAGCGGCGGCAGCGCTGCCGCTGCTCGCGGAGAGGTCCGCGAAGCCTGGGCGCGCTGATCTCAGCGCGCGCAGGCTTCGGCATGCCGGCAACTCTCCGCAAGCAGCGGCAGCGCTGCCGCTGCTCGCGGAGAGGTCCGCGAAGCCTGGGCGCGCTGATCTCAGCGCGCGCAGGCTCGGCATGCCGGCAACTCTCCGCAAGCAGCGGCAGTGCTGCCGCTGCTTGCGGAGAGGTCCGCGAGCCTTGGCTGGACAGCTTTTGAAGGCAGGTGGGGGGACAAAGACTTTCGCCCCGCCAGCCTTCAGAAGAGGTCCAGGACCTCTTCTGAAGGCTGGCGGGGGCAAAGTCTTTGTCCCCCTGCCTGCCTTCCCAGGGGCTTTAAATTGCCCCGGACAGCGGAGAAGTCCTCCGCTGTCCCGGGGCAATTTTAAAATGCCGCCCGCCAGCATTTTAAGATCGCCCCGGACAGCGGAGAAGCCCTCCGCTGTCCCGGGGTTTTTTAAAATGCTGGGGTGGGTGGGAAGAAAAGCCCTTGTCCCCCCCCCCCCAGCCTTCAGAAGAGGTCGGGGGACAGACTGTCCCCGGACCTGGTCTGAAGTCGGTTTCCCTAGGAACGCATTAATTGATTTTCAATGCATTCCTATGGGAAACCGTGCATCGCAAGACGAAAAACTCGCAAGAAGAAAAAACTTGCGGAACGAATTAATTTCGTCTTGCGAGGCACCACTGTAATTTAATGCCAAGAGAGAAGGCACAGTCCATCCTCCACGAAGGAAGAACAGGAACAAACCTTTTAAATACTTTCCCAAATCTGTGGTAGAAAAAACATTTTTTTGAGGGGAGGGGGTTGTTTCTAAAGTGAGCTGGTTGCATGGTGAGTTTTAATCTGATGCCTAAGTAATGACCACTTGAAGCCAGGAATTTGAGGTGAGGTACTGGGTAGGGCGGACATGTTAAACAGCTAAGAAAATGTTGGCAGAGGCTCAGCCAACAGGTTTTGCTTTTATGCTTAGGAAAGGTTCATATTACTGTATTTGGGATTGGAAATTCCCCCCAGATCAGATTGGTGGGGGCCTCTTTTCTTCTCCTCCTCCTATGGCATTTGGGACTGCTCCCTTCTTGAGGAATCTTATTTTATTAAACTTGTCCTGCAAGTAATTCTGGCACCTAGCTGGGGCCTGCCTTCGTATTGTGTGGGCTAATTTATTGAAAATATTGCATGTGGGGGATCCTAGCCTCTTTCAGATTATTCGGCATCCACCCTCATTTGTTCAGACAAGGTTTGCAGGGAGATTATAGAACACCATTTATTAAGCATCATTCAGATTTGATCGGGGAGGGGTTATATGACATCACATCAAGCAATTACCTCACACTTTCCCGTGCATCTTCCCATCATGTTCCTTTCTGCCAAAAGGCCAATTTAATTTTTGAAGGTGGGTTTGTTGCGCAAGAGACCAAATCCCATTTTAATTGCGCAGCAACCTGTATTTCCCAGTATGCAATCAAATTGCACACACAAATCAGTGACAGTCCATAAGTGGCCCCAATTTACAGTGGCAGGAGGCTCAGCTAGAATATCTTCATGACACTTCTAATTAGAAATTGCTGTCTTCATCACCATTGCCTTTATTTGAGTAACGCATCAAGGCAAGAAAAAATCAAGATGCACCCCAGCACTTAATTATTTGAAATCCTAAGAGGAGAAGAAACCAGTGCTTGTATTTGGCCCACAGTCTGTCAACTGAAGTTCATGCCTATAACTTTTAATTCGAATTCTGTTCTCTCCCTTGTCCCTTTTCCTATGTTACTGTGCTGCAAAAGCAAAGTGCTGCTTGCTACAACAGGCTGGAGAGGAGAATGAACAAAGGGACCACTGGAGCAGGTGGGGAAAGAGCCACTGCCTCCTTTCTCATTACTTTCCAGACCTTTTCTTTTTTTTTAAAAAAAAAGATAGGAATGGCTTCTGGGGTGCACAGCTGACAGCTCAAGCTGGTACTGTCCCATAGCTTTGCTTAAAAAGCATTTAAACTAATATTATCCTGCCTGTAGCAATTTTTGCTTCAAAACAGATCAAAGGAACACCAGCCCTTCCTTCCTTCTGCTCCCCACACCACCACTTATAAAAGTATTCACTATTTCCCCCTCACTTGCTTTCTGGCTAATCCCCCTCCATCTTGCAGCACTTTAAGTTATCACTCAGCTGTCTTCTGCTTCACAGATGGTGGGTGTGACTTTTTGAAATTTACAGTTGGGAGTATAAAACAAAACAGCTGCTGTGGGGCTAGACAGCTTTGGCCCTGTTTGCCCAGCTGCGGAGATGCTCACTCTGCTGGGCATAACTTAAATTCCCCATAGCCTGCACCTGTTTGGAGGCAGCCATATCAGAGGGCAAGAGGAGGGAGAAACATACCCACGTTCGGTGCTTCCCTGTCCTTCAATACTCCTGCTGCATCTTGAAAGGAGTTGTGAAGAGATGGCAGTTGTTGACCGCTACTGTTGTTGAGCTATCTTCCAGCATGTTCAGAGGTTTGGTCCAGTATGCAATTGTCTCCCCATAAAATGCTCATCTGCTGATCCAATCAACACCAGTGCGCACACCATGCCATATCCTTGCCAAGGCACTAACATTCACTGGATTCCAATCAATGGTCGATTTTGCTCAATGGTAACCCAGTGGCTTTTTTTGTCCATGAGAACTAAGCTGGTTGCCACCAGAGATAAAGGTTGCCAGCACTGTTCCTGAGCTGCCGTGCCTTTTAACATGTGCACAACACACAAAACATTCAATTGGTAAAACTTTCTCCAGCTCTGCATCTACTAGAAGAGTTCAGCAGGCAAACTTTTGTGAGTCACATAGCTATTAAACTGGCACAATAACTTTGGCAGGGTTTATTATTATTATTATTATTGGCATTGGAAATGACAACAATTTTGGCTTGGGAAAAAGTGAGCATTTTGAACTAGACAATGCGTCCATTTAGCAACCTCAGGGCTGGAAAGGATGGATGCTAAGGTGATACTGTGATGAGGCTCTGGGTCGTGTTGACTGAGTGTAACTACATTTTCTCTTGGCCATTATTGTGCAACATGGTCATCCCATTGTTCAACAGCAAAAAAGGGAATGCAGTGAGATGAGGAAGTACGGTATGTATGCAGGTTCAAGAAGTGCAAAGTGGCCTTTGGCTTATTAACATTCGATGGCCTCTTAAGTGTGTTTGTGGGAGGGGGTTATTGGTTTGTTTTTGTTTTATTATGTATTCAGTGTTTCCATTTTGTGTTTTTATGGTTGTGAACCACCCTGTGATCTTTGGATGAAGGTTGATTTACAAATTTAATAACAAACAATCAAACAAACAAAACATGAGCACATCATTTACGGGTCAGACCCCAAAATTGTGTGTTACTCTTTATACTTTGTAAGCCTAAGATAAAATAATACTGAGAAGCACTTTGCATTTTAAAAATTGTAGAGAGATAATCTCCACCTAGTACAAACATGTGCACTAGCGCTCATGGTTGAAAGGGATGCCAGTTTGCAACTTTGAGAACATGTAACTTTAAATTCCTTAATGAACAAGAGAAGCGGCAGCCGTGGCTTCTTGGCACTCCCCGCCCCCCGTCCTATTGTCCATTACCACCAGCTGCTTGCTACACAGCGTACCTGGAGCCCTAGGAGACCATTGCAGCAGGTAGGGCAGTGGAGCACCCAACAGCATACGGTGCGCGGGGGGAGATGCTTTTTCTCCTGTTGCTTCATAGACATTATCTGTGTGTTCTCTGGTTTGCACCTTGGGAACTCTATACTAAACTGTAGCATATATGGTATATCTACAACAATTTGATTTCCTGATAGTGCTGGAAACCACTTAACGGCTTCATATTCTCTCACTCCCCCCCTCCCAAAGTCCAGTCAATGAGTGATTTTACTACAAGCCAAATCAAGTCTTAGATGCAATTGTTTCCACTCTGGAAGGCAGGGGGTGGAGGAATCATTACTCAGCAGCATTCACTTGGTTGGTTCAGTAACTTAGCCGTCAAGGAGGCTTGGCCATTCATTGCAAGAGAATGTCCCTGGCTATGTGGCTTGCAGTAAGCAGCTATGTGGGAAACGAGACTGCAGCAATGACTATCTAGCAGCTAGGAGGTGGATTTGCAAGGATGGAAACTGACAGTAATGCAGTCTTATGTTGTATTGAAGGGCTTAGTCAAGGGTACAAGAATTTTTCAGTCCAAACAATAGAGATGCATCAGCAACCACAGCAATAAAACATGCCTTCGGTTCTTCCTCAATCCTGAGTTTGAACATACAGGGCCAGACCAAATCCTTGTCATTTTAAGAGCACCCAATTTATCATGTAAATGTAAAAGCTTCTGGGTGTAATTCTCCCTACCTGACACACAAACAAGGTCACACAGCAAACCCCTCGTAAATTACACAGCATTCTACGGGAAAAAGCAACAGGAAAAGAAAATGCAGAAACCTGGAAGCAAACAATAAATAACACCGAGACAAGTTAAACTACTCCCAGGGCATTTGTTTGCCAAAGGGTCATTTTCCATATCCAACCCATTAGGAAAATTAGAAGTGAAAGAATGTGCTAGTTTGACTTAAAAACATTGAAGAAATACCACCCGCTCCCCCCCAAAATTAAGTAGAGCCATCTAATATTTTCCCCAGTGATTTGACATCATGCCAGATGTTGAATGTGTGAAGGAGATGGTCCTGATATATTTTTATAGCTCAGTTTACTGTTCTTCACTTCTTGCCCTGCATGTTTTCCTGTAAAATAATGCAAATTTTTGTACCTCCCTGATAAAAGCCCATGCTAAATAGGGTTTATGGGAATTTGTGAAACTTGTGTGTGTTTTTCCCTGAGTGGTTATAATAAAAAACATTTTAAACAACTGAGAAAAATAGGAGGAAAGCTTAGTGATAGTTAACATTTATGTTACATTTTGAAGTGTTTGAAGTGCTTCACATACTTTACCTCAGTCAATGCTATTGTCCCCCACACTGAGAAAGCAGCAGTGAGGCACCTGGTGGAAACCAAGCCATTTATGGCTGAGGTGAGATTTGAAGAAGACATCCTTAGCTGCAGTTTGCCAACTCTGCAACTTGTGACCTACCTGTGCTCCAGTCTAATTAGAGAGAGCCTGTATGTACAAGAAAGCTGTCGTGTGTATCACATGCTGGAAAAAGCACTACATGTGTACACTGAACACACATCCAAATACGCATGTAAGCGTGAAGATCATCTGTTCACAGTGCAACGTGTCATATGCGGGGCTGTCTCTGAAGGTGGTTCGGAAGCTCCTGCTGGTGCAGAATTCAGAGGCCAGGTTGCTCACTGGGACAAGACAGTTGGAGCATATAACACTGATCCTGGCCTGACAGCACCGGCTGCCAATTAGCTTTCAGGCCCAATTCCAAAGTGCTGGTTTTGATCTATAAAGCCTTAAACGGCTCAGGACTGCAAGACCTCAAGGACCGCCTCTCTCCATATAAACTGTCCTGGACTCTGTTCATCATCTGAGGCCCATCTTCACGTGCCTCCTCCACTTGAGGTCCAGAAGGTGGCAACAAGAGAACAGGCCTTTTCTGTAGTGGCTCCCCATTTGTGCAATGCTCTCCCTAGGGAGGTTTGCTTGGTGCCTTCATTATATATTTTTAGGCATCAGGCGAAAACGTTCCTCTTCAACCAGGCCTTTGACCAATTAATATTCTACAGCCTTTTAAATGTGTCTGTGGGAAGGGAGGGTTATTGCTTTGTTGCAATTATTTACTTGGGTTTTTATCTTGTATTTTATTCTGTGAACCGCCCTGAGATATTATGATGAAGGGCAGTATATAAATTTAATAAATAATAATGATAAATTCACGGGGGGGGGGGGAGAATATAGACCTTCAAATGTGCATCACTATCCACATTGTGGCACAAGTAGTCATTCACAAAACACCATTTTTAAATGGTGGATCATAACAGAAGAGATACAAATTTCCTATAGCATAACGTTGTTGTTTAGTCATTTAGTCGTGTCATGACCCCATGGACCAGAGCACGCCAGGCACTCCTGTCTTCCACTGCCTCCTGCAGTTTAGTCAAACTCATGCTGGTAGCTTCGAGAACACTGTCCAACCATCTCGTCCTCTGTCGTCCCCTTCTCCTTGTGCCCTCCATCTTTCCCAACATCAGGGTCTTTTCGAGGGAGTCTTCTCTTCTTAGGAGGTGGCCAAAGTATTGGAGCCTCAGCTTCAGGATCTGTCCTTCCATAAAACAGGATAGCATATATGTCACCAGTGGCCCAATCTGGAACCCAGCCATGGTTTTAAAAATTCATGTCTTCTTGCATGTAGTTCTTGTACAGCAAACCATAGCTCAGTGGTAAAGCACTGGCTTTGTATGCAAAAAGTCCCAGATTCAATCCCTGGTATCACCAGGTAGAACTGGGAATGCTTCTTGCCTCAAACCATAGAGCTGCTGCCAGTCAGCATAGACAACACTGAGCTAGGTTTGCCTCTGTATAAGGCCTCTTTCTGTGTTCCCTGGCCTCCCACGTACAACGCTATATCAGATTGTCAAAAGATGAGGTTCTAAGAAATCAACACAGTGACAAGTGAAAGGGGGGCACAATTGCCTCCTGGAGATTGGGCTCCCCCAGTAGCACACACTAAACATTTATCCTGAAAAACAAGTATATCTGATTTAGTGGGATTTACTTCTTACCTACACTTTGCATTATATGATACCTGATACCTGAAGAACAGGAGAAACCAATTTGGCACTCTCCATATGTTCTTGGACTACAACTCCCATCAGCCCCAGCTATCATGGCCAATGGTTAGGGATCATGGGCGTTATAGTACAATAAAATCTAGAAAGCACTGCATTGTCTATCCCTGCTACAGGTAAAAATCTTGTGACTCTCAGTACCTAGGGATCCATGGGAAGCAAGTTTCCAGAGATCACATATATTCAATAGGAGAGCCATTAGGTTATAAAATCATAAGCATACAGAAACAACAAACAGTGTTAAATGTTCAAATGAACTGTATAGAGACAGAACATCACAGCATCCTGGAGGAATTATATGTACAGCCGTTACAAACAGACTATTCAAATGGAGTTCCTTAAAAGAAAATCAAGACTTCATTCTGAAATAAAACAAAATCGTAAAGGCATCATTTCTACTAAATTTTATTCAAGTTTGCCAAACATCTAAACATATACACCAAGGCTTAGCATCACCAACTTATCATCACACACACCCTTTTCATGAACGTCAAAAAGAGAGAATAAAACTAAGAACTAAAAAAAAATCAAAAAAATCAGATGTACCCTATTGAGAGAACAGAAAAGGTGTAATGGATAACATTTGCAGCTATGGCTTTTTATAGCAACTGAACATCATCTGGTATGTAAGAAAGAGAGCAAACCCTGCTATATTTAATCAAAGAAACAAGTAATTAAACCACATCTGAAACATGCCTTCTTCATTCTAGTATGTTACATGAACAATACTACTCTGGTCTCTCAAGGCTATACTTCATCCATTCTGGCTTACCTGTAAATGTAGCACAGTATTCAGATAGGAAACATGTACCATATATATAGCGAAACAACTTGTAAAGAGTCAGTGTGGCTGTTGTACTTAAATGAAAGAAAAACCCTTTCACACACTACATTCAGTGCAGAACTAACTGAACCCGGGATATTGTGAAAGCCAATAGCAGAGCTGGAATAAAATTATTTTTAAAAAAGAATTAGATAAAACCATGAAGATTGGTTTTAAGAACTGTGAACTGAACAATTAGAAGTTGCAAATTTGCCTGCTCAGGGCAGTCTTTTCTATTTGTTAGAAATAACAGAGGGAGATTGTTCTGTAACTGTCCTATGTTTTGCAACTTATTTGCGAAGCATCCATCTGGCAGAGGTCATTTTCAGAACCAGGATATTGGCCTCTGGGGGTCACTGGGTCAGCCCTGTCTTCTAGTTCTTAGAAGATCTAGTTAGGTCAAAATGATTCAAACTTGATGCAGGTATGACAGCTGCTCGTTGAAGTCGATGGACCATGGTAGTTCCTTTTGGCTCAGTGAGCTGCACCAGTACCAGTGAGATCCCATTTTCCACAAAAAAATATGCTTAGCAAGAGATGAGAAAGAAACAGAAACAGGACAGCCCTTGGGCAATCTGCATTCACTGTCCTAGATAACAGAAAGCTGTATTTTGTGCTCAAAGATAGAAGCAGAGAAGGCAGCATGGTCAGTTTGCTTCACAGTTTGTCAACTGGGTAGGAAGTATTGGGGGCGCTTTGTTAGCTTGCTGCACACTGAAGGAAATGTACTTCTTCCTGAACTGAACAGGCTGACTTAGGTTTGTTGAATTTTAAGGGAGACGCTTCCAGACACTATGGCATGAGCAGAGAGGCCTCTCTCTAACATTTGGACTGAATAGTTGCAGACATATTTCATTTCTTTTAAAATTGGGCTACAAGTGCAAAAAAATTAATAAAAATCTGCTGCCACTTTTGCACACTGGACCTCTAGAGAGTGAAAGCCTTTTCTAAAACGCAAATCTGTATTTGCAACATGTCACCAGCTTCCCCATAGAAAGCAAGCAATAGGAAGTATCTGCTCTTAGTGATGTTTTAGCAGTTGGTGCAAATATGTATTTTAGCTGTCACGCTTTGGGGTTCTCAATGGATTGATTTGGATTGTTGTCTGTACCTTATTTTATTCTTGCTCATTGTTGTAATGTTTCCTTATGGATTTATTACCCTTACAAATCCGTTGAAGTAGGTGGGATATAGACTTAATTTATATAATCTAGAATTTATGTCTGTTGCAACCACAAATTAAGAGCAAGACAGAATCCAAGTTGAGGTGGACTAGAAATTATTGCCAATACACTCTTCAGATTAATAAGGAATAAGAAAAAGAAAAAAAAGACAATATAGTGACAGTGGATAATATGGTCAAGAAATGTCTGAAAGCAGCTATTGTGCTCTGGCTCTCCACAATGTATACACATTGCCCAAGGTTTAGCAAGCAAGTTTACTCCCTCCCACTAGGAATGAGAAAGGGCATTATAGTTGCCATGGCATTTTCTGCCCTATACTCTGGTTATAATCTGCATGCTGCGTGCTAAATTCATTGCATGCAAGACTGCCCTCGCCAAATTACTTTGAACTTGGACAAATCTAGCAGATGACCCAGCGGCGAGAAGCAGCCTCCTATGTCATTTCCTGGTGTTGTAGCGATATGCTGAGATTTTGCAATCATACTATATATGACTATTCCCTCAAAGGAGAGAGTGCATCCTTCATGCATTTTCCTAACGAATATTCTGTATTTAAGAAGTTATAGACTCTGGGCTTTTCTTCTTAGGACTGATAGAGGAATGCTTCTCTTGCCAGGGATTTATCTATACCTTTTGCTCTAAACTGCAACTTAAATTGGTTGGGTATTTCCTGAAGTGAGGGACATCTCTTTTTGAACACATCCAGACTGTTACTTCCTGCACAGATAGTTCTGAAATGTAGTTCTAAACTAACAGTGCAGGAAGCAGTGCAGACTCACAAAAAAGCAATCCCAGACTATACACCCACAACAACTCATTTGGATATGACATTGAACCTGTTAATCTCAGTCTATTACTGTCTGGACTACTTGGGAGAAGCACATTTGCTACATGGCTTATAGGAGGCAGGTGCAGCCTACCAAAAGCTCTTCTCAAAACACGCCCCCCTAAATTAACCAGTTCACTGCAGTTAAGACTGAAAGAGCACTAAACTGACTACCACTATATGCTGTTAAACTCCACCCTCATGGAGGGTTTTTACAGTGCGACGAGACTGAATGTCAAAGAGCTCTTGGTCTGTTTACACCAACCAAAAAGGCAACACTGCACTGCAGTCTGACACTGTTTTATTTGATAATGACAGCATCTCTAGCACTCTGATGCTTCTAACATTCAGACTGTTAAGAACTTGAGTTACAACGCACGTCTCTGTGAAAGGAAGGGCAGACACCTGGGTATCTCGCTATAATAAAGGCTCTTCATGAGGCCATAGGAGTGTCTTGCCAGCATTCTACAAAGTAATGTATTGTTTTAAAACTGAAGCACAGATGCTAATAATACATCAGCTCATTTGCTGATGAGAAAAGCTTTGAGTGGCACCAGGTGAGCATCCTGAGTGACTTCAGAACTGAAGCAGGCTCCCGTACACGTTGCTATGATCATCCTACACTCTGCGGAACCCATTGGAAGTCTTTATGGCAGACTTCAATCTGCTCCTGTTTTCAGTTCTTATTCTTTAGTCAGATGAATGTGGAGACTCTCAATACTATTTATGCCAAAAGGGGTAGGGGTGGGGGGAAGAAATGCATATGTGGAGGGAAATGATACTAGAGAGAAGGTAAAGTTCGAATTTGGGCAGTAGGCTTAGCTGCTGTTCCCATTTCTAACAGCTATAGCTGCACACAGATGGAAAAATATTTGGTCAGATGCTAGCAGCCAGCTAGCGTGTTTGGCTCCTGCAGCCCCTCCAATTCCATGCAACGCAGTTCATTTACTTCTTCTTTGCAATGACATTTCTGCAGACCCAGTTCATGCCATCCTTCAAAAACAAGACAACAAAGAAATGGAACATTAGATGAGAGGAAAGCGTCAGCTTTTGCCCAGCTCACAATAAACTCTCATTTTGCAAACACACATTCAAATTTCGCTTAGTGCAACCATGGTTAGGAAACCTGATCTACAAATGGCCCTTCTTAATCTTACATCCCTTGTCTTGTTGGTAAAGTTATGGGACTATGAATTACTGCCTTTTTATCAGGCTTTTCTGTCAACATGACCCTCTTTAGCTTTAATTGTAACATGGATCCACCCACTTACAACTGTGTGTTTGTTATTATCCTGCTTTATTTTGAAGAGGATGGACTGTAAATCTAAATTCAAAGGAATATCAAGGATCCTTTGCTAACTCAGCAGTATACAATCTTAGGATGTAACCACACAGAAACCTTTGTCACGTTCAATTTAACTTTTGCACCATACATGTGTGCTTCCTAGTCCTGGGACTGCAGCTTTGAGATTTTCATCGTCTCCTCCCATTTATGAAATGCTAAATTTGCTCAGCTGCATCCATACACACCCTGATAAATATTCTGCAGTTGCCAAAAAATGGAGAAAAGATAGAGAGATACCCGCAGATGAGATCACAAAATAGCTTCCAATAAATAATTTTTAATAGATGAAATTAACAAGGTTGGGGAAACCCAGCCAGATGGGCAGGGTATAAATAATAAAATTATTATTATTAATTATTATTATTATGGCAGTATAGGTGGCAAAATGCACAGCTGCAAAGGTATAAAGTATTAGCAAAAGGAACTGCACTTAGAAATGCACTAATAACAAAGGAGGCAGGGATGTAGAACTACCAAGAGCATATAGCAACTCAGAAAGCTGGCCCATCTATTAGTGGTCCTCCCAAGTCTCAGGCTGAGGTCCTTCTAGCCTTGCTGACATCCTTTTCATTGGAGAGCTTGGAGATTGGCCAGTCTAGTCCAATCACAAATCTCTCCAATGACGTACAATATTTTGAATAAAGGAGAAAGCCTAGGAAATGACATACAAAGAATGCTGGTTTTCATGCACCTTTACCCAAGTCCCCAGCCCTCTCTGATTTAATCTTAATAGCCCACAGTTTTGTGTCAGCAAGAATGAATGGTCGGAGCTGAGCATGTTGCTGTGTATACTGTAATGTCTTCAGCATAACTGGAAGGCCTGCAGATTTCAGCTTCCTTTTAAAAAAAATATAAAAGCACGTGTGGATTAATTTGTTAATGGACATGCATGCACAGCAAGTTCCAGTACAGTTGACTCATGTTCATTGTAGAAAATACCCCAGAAAAAAGGTTTGGGTGGGGTTCCCAAAAGTAATGGTAGAATGTTTCAGAACTCAACAAGTTGCCTGCTCCTCCCTACAGCTGCTTGTTTGCCCTTACACCACCAAGGACACATGCTCCCTTGCTACCCAAGACCTTGTGAAGAAATTCTAAATGCTGAAAGAGCCTTACATACATCAGTCAAAGTGCTGGAAGTAAATGTTTGCATAGAGCAGTTTTTAAAAAAATAACAGAGCTTTCTGCAACAGTTTTTGCTGCTCCTGTTGCCTCTAAAGCAGTAATCGTGTTTGCACACATCATGGAATACAAGGCAAGCAGCACTCCTCGTTCATTTTGAATGTAGGTTTATATGCTGAAGCAGAAGAGCTGAGACAGCTTCAAGTCATAAATATCTGCTGACACTCCTTTGATATTCAGCACAACAATCCCATAAACGATACATCCCTGCAAAACAACCACCAGGCACCCCATCTCCCGGGTAGAAGCAGACCAGAACCTACCCATACAGAGGGACTCTAACACTGCCCAATGCCACAAAGGAGCTCAGCCAAAGGGAAACTCAGCTACCTGAACACTGCACAGCAGAGACTCATAAAGCTGAGTTTATGATGGGATTTACTGTGGCTGTGAGCCTGACTGTATAACAAGGGCAAAAGAATGACAAGGCACTATGCAGGAGGAAAGGTGAACTCCAAATGGCTTTTCAATTCATATCTGGGTCACTTTACTTTGAAGGCAGGAACTCATCCAAAAATCACTTTCATAGCAAGAGCTGGTTCAAAGAGAATTCTGACTGTCCCTAATTGGTTTGTGGGGAATGAGTGTGTGAAATTAACACAGAGACTACAAGGGGAAAAGGATCAATTTCCCTGGATCAAAGAGGATAAAACACACACATTTTTTTTTAATCTGCAGGTAAACCGTTTCCCATACTCCACACAAATAATTGTCAGTATCAAGTTCAATGATGGGAAATAAATGTTCTCATCAGATAGCTAAAATGCAGAGATCAGCTTAATGGGATCAAATTCTGGTAAAGAATTGGTGGCTATTTGCCAGCAGGGAAAGAAACAGGAAGCTAGTAATTAGAGAAGCAGAAATTTGAAAATAAAATCAGTAAGGCTGTTGTTACATCTGCATTACAATTTTATTTTATTTAACAGTAAGACGAGCTTGGCTAGATAAGACTAAAAAACCCTTCTAGAGCAACATCTTATTTCCAACAACGGAGAACCAGATGCGTTCAGAAAGCCCACAAACAGGGCACAAAAGACAACTACACTTCCCTTGTTGTATGTCCCCAGCACCAGATATTCACAAGTGTACTGCCTCTGCATGTGATGGTTCCATTTAACTCCCTATCCTCCCTGAATTTGTCTGGTCCCTTTTGAAGACACCTAAACCAATGGCTGTCACCACCCCTTATAGAGGTTCATAATGTATTATGTGGAATAGTATTTCCTTTTGTTTCTTCTTTTTTTGCATAATTTTTAATTGCAACTTTTCACCATACAATATAATGAAAAACAAACTAATCTAAGTAAGAATAAAGAAGAAAACAAAGATAGAGGCCCTTTCCTTGTCTCACACAGAAGAGGGTGGACCCCTCCCTGAAAGCTTCCCTTTCTTCTCCCAGCCTCCCACCTTGGGAGTTCTTCCCTTCCCTGCCTCTCACACAGGGTCTTTCGCCAGTCATCCATCACCTTCCTGTGCATACCCTCAGAGTAGAGGACATCGACAAACAAAATAAAACATAAGCAAAAGCAAAGTAGATGGAGGAAGAAAAAGAAAAAAGACAGGAAGGAAAAGAAAAGAAAAAGAAAAAGAGAGGGGAGAGGATAGAAATAAAACGACTTCAGATTCTCCGTCTGTCAATTATATCTATAAAGATTATTCAAAATATCCAAAGTGTTCACTCCAGGATGGTATCCAGCTGTATTCTAGGAAAATATCCAGCTGTTTCTCGATCTGCTAGGCAATGTTTTTCCAATCTTCAGCCACACATATCTTAAGTTTATTCCTTTTCCTTTTCACACAAAAAGTCTAAAAGGGGCTCTCCAATTGTTACTGTCACTAAATGTTAATAATAATTTTCCTCCAGTATGGTATGACAACTTTATCTCCATAAAATTCCAACTTCCATTATTAGAATAATAATCCATAGTTATTTACTTGTAGTATATTCATTGATTCATACCCACTTCCATATATTCTAATCTTGTTTCCTGTTGGCTGTGATTTTCCATCCTAATTTAATGAAAGAAAAATAAGGGGGGGGGGCTCCTTCTATTTCCATTTCTTCCATTCTTTTTCCAAGTGCATCGCCAGAAGTTTGGTAGATCTTTCCTTTAAACTCACTCCAAATTGTACACAGAATACTTTCTCTGTCAGCCCTATCTCTGCCATCTCAAGAGGTTTCTTAATGTCTTGGTCAGTGGTTTTGTTCCACTTCTCCAGCATCACACCTCCATCGTTTGTCCATTCTACACCTCTAGGCACTTATGTGGCAGTCCTCTCCATTTCATCATTTACTGCCTCCAACTTTACCATCCCACTCTCATGTTCTGGCAGTATGCCCCCCCCCCCCGCCCCAGGCTCTGTCTGATCTTTCTCTGTTCCATTTTCATTCAACATTTTATGCATCTCAGCTCTGAGCTCTTTTAATTCCTCACCCAATAATTGACTCATGACACTATAAGTCAGTGGCATGTTCAACAGTACTTTTACCTAGTCTCTGCCTTGAAAACTTGTGTCTCTCTCTTTACCAAAGCACATTCCTTTCCCATGGTTAAGGGATTAAGTTTCACTTTTGCAGTCAATACTCCACAAAAGGTACAGAGAGTTAAAGGTAATATAAATGAAAATTTTTAACAACCACAGCTCTCTTATCTGTTTATAATCTTTCTTAGTCGCAAACAGTTAAAATATGCTTTTTGTTTTATTTTCAGCCTGTTAATTAATGCCTCTTCTTATGCCAGCAGTCAGTTCACATTCCGCGTGAAAGTTTAATTGGCAGATAGATCACCCCAGTAGTAATTCATCATAGTCTCAGAGGTAATTAAAAGAAGGGAGGTTTAATTGACCTAATGCCCTGAGGCATAGGGCTACTATGTGGTGTCTGGGCATGGTGGTGGTTCCTCACTCCAAGTTCCTCACTGCATCTGAAAACCTCCTGATCTCTGGAGGGAAGAGCAGCATTCTTCAGAGCATTAGAGGTTAATGCCTTTGATCCCCCTATTTTCAAAGAGAGAATGTGATAACCAAGATTTACATCTTGGCTATCATTAATCACCATGTAATTATCTCTGTTGATGGCGTGTTGGTAGTAGACGACTAGTCAGCCATCTTTTCTCCCGGAAGTCTCACAAATGCCCCTTTTGTTTCTTCTCAATCTACCACCAATCAATGTCATTTAGGTAGCCCTAAGTGGTAGTGTTATGAGACAGAGTGTCCACACTTTCCACAACATACATACTTTGTGAACCTGTATTATGTCCTTCCAGGGATACTGTTTAAAAAAAACAACTAAAAAAACCCCCAAATGTTTTAACCTTCCTAACGGAAGAAGCTCCCACTGCTTGGTCATTTGAGTTGCTTTTTTCCTACCCTTTCCTTCTTTACCTTACTCTTTTTGAGATGACTTGGTCATAATTGTATACAGTATACCAAATGTGACCACACTGCGTAATATATAGTTATTATGATAGCAGTTTATTTTTATTCTCTTTTTAAAAAATCAATCTGAAATTTGAGATTGTCATTGCTGTACACCAAGTTGATGTTCTCATAGAACTATTCATAAAGATGCCAAGAACAATGCTGGATAGTCACAGCCAGTATATGTATGATTAGGGTTTCTTTTTTTGTTCTTGTTCTTTCTCTCTCTCTCTCTCTCTCTCTCTGTGTGTGTGTGTTTTGCTCCATTGTAACTATATAAATAGATAATTTCAAATAATGTTTATACCATAGCATTTATATTTTTGTGCCTATACTCTATATACCACAATGCCAGCATAAGTGTATTTTATACATGGCTAAACACAACATCACAAGTGCAGTTACAAACTGACAGAAAAAATTAAACCAGAAGTAAGGGAATAGGATTGGCAATGTTTTAAGTACAGCCCCTATTTCAATCATCTGATTAACCTTATTTAACTTACATAGCAAGAGGCAGTTGTCTCCCAATAATGATAGTGCATAAAGATCAAATGACTCCAGGTGTCAGTGTGTGTGTTTCTCATTGGCTGGAATCTGCCATTACCAACTAGGCTAGATGAGTTAAAAATAGTTAGAAAATCCAGCCATCTCCTTTTGTGCCTCTTTGTATGATCACAGTCCTGTCTTGGACACCTGATGGCATGGACATCTCTACTGGCCTTTCTCTGCCTCTGTTAATATTTAAAACCCACTAATTTCTTACCTGCTTGCACATTCCTTTGTCTCCTGGAATCAAGCAATCAAGCAGTCTCCCATGATCATAGACTCTTCAAGGCCTTTATACAATATTTGCAAATGTGTCAAGACAAGTGAACAGACTTCCCAATAACTTATTAAAAACAACGATGAGTGAATTGCAACGTAGTACGCACAGAGTAGTGGGGAAAGGAAGGACAATGGCTAGGGGATAAAAAGAGGTGAAAAGGTATTTCCCTCCCCCAACTATCATTGGCTGTAATAAAAGGTCACTGCAGTAAGAGTAGTACTAAAAAGGAAATACAGAATATTCTTTTTTACAGTAAAGCCTCCAAACCAGGATATCTGCACCAGTAATCAGCTGGTGATGTGGAAGACTTCTTTTCAGAAAACGACCTGACGCCATTCAAGGTTTACAAATTTTGTAAGATTATAATACAAAAATATAAACCCATACATTACGGTGAAGTCATTGCTCCCATTGCCATTTAGTTTGATTTAGTACATGAATGAAAACAATGAAATGAATGTTGAAATGAAAACACATTGGTAGTATAATTAATAAATAATAAAATATATTGTGGCGTCCTTTTCTAAAAAAGAAAAAGGGCAGTCTTTTACAGCAACTCTATTCCCCTCTTATTTCTGTTTAAATAAAACTCCAGAGCCAAATATACTTCAAATTCTATCCTAATTATGAAGGACTTAGATTTAAAAGGTATTGGCATTTATTCAGCTGAGTACTGTCAGCTCCAGTTGCTTGTGGCCCTTATTGCTTGGAGGAAAACTACAGTAGCTTCACTCAGAAGACTGGCTTCTGTTCTGGGCTTTCCCATCACGTGCCTGCAAACACATTTTCTAGAGAATGGTGTCTGGTATTTTCACAAGTGCTGACAGTGTGTGTGGGTGTCTGTGTGCTAAATGCACATGTGGATGCGGGGGTGGAGAAGCATAAATGCCACAAGTCTCTTTTGTGGCAATTCACATGTCAGCTTATAAACCTGAGTTGTGTACTGGCAAACAGAAGCGCTGAGCTGACTGATCCCTTATTCTGTAGTATGAGGGATATTTCTAGCCAGCCTGCTCCTGTCTCTCTTTAGCTTGTTAAATGAGAAGAACAAAAGGCCTGGTACAAATCTGGGTATGGTAAAAAATTATCTTCTCTGAACAATGGCAGGAAGCCTGACTGGTGCATTGAAGGAGAGTGAGAGTCAATTATAAACAATGGGGCTGCTCTACATTACTGCTCATGGAAATAAACCGGGGGCACTCTTTACATTCAAAGCCTCTTGATCAGAACCTTTCACTGGTATCAAATAGATACAGGGCAAGCTTGCAGCGGATTCCTTTCTTAATTAACATTTTTATTTAAAGAAACCCATTTCAAATAATAGTTAAATTCTCTAAATGTATATAATTTATTAACCATAATGTAATCTCATTAACCTTGAAATCCCCAGCCTTAACTACTGAGTTCTGCAGACTATAGCTTAATCTACGAAACTAATTAAAATGACCTTCAAACCATTTCTCCTTCGTTTGCTGTCATTATTTATTCTTTTTTTGATACTCTGCCCTGGGGCTGTCACAAACCGTTCCCTATTAACTCATTCTCTGTACGTTTCTGTTCCACAGAAAGTCCTATTTTCTTTTCAAATCCACTGTTGCCAACATGCACTCTTGTTATTCATGCAACAGCCTCCTGGGTACCTTCCCTCCTCCCAGCTGGCATATTTACTTTCTCTTTATAGCCTTCTAAATAAATATCTGATAACACTTCCATGTTCTGTCACCAGCCTCTAGGGTGGTTCTTTAATGCTGTGAACTAGGACTGAAACACTACATCTCCTTTTTCCTGAAGAGCTGAAGCAACAATTCTTCTATATTTACCTCAGCTTCAATGCACAAATTAACTATTCTTTAAACTTCACATTTAGGGCACACTGGAATCTCTTGATTGCCAGGCCACTGGGCAAAGATGTGCCAATGATTACTGGCGAAAGCCGTGTCAGAACATTCAACTCACTGCTAATAGTGGCAATACTTGAAAAGTATACGGAGACATCAAGAAAGCCTTTGGACTAATGGGAAAACTGCACCACTAAAAGTCTTATCTGGAGAGATTATCACAGACCGCAGCAAGCAGATGCAGCAATGGGCAGAACACTACAAAAACTGTACTGGCAAGAAAACATGGTTGCTAGCACAGCAGTTGACAGCATCCAGACTCTGTCTGTCTTGGAAGAGCTGGATGTCCCTCCCCTTGACAAGCTGAAGAACACCATCAACTCTCAGGCATGTGGTAAAGCCCCAGGACAGGACGTGATGCACCTCCATAGCCTTCTCTTGCTGTGCTGGGAAACAGGATCTGCGCCACAAGACATGCACTGCTCCAGCACTATGACCCTCGACAAGAACAAAGTTGACTGCCATGATTGTAACAACTACCAAGGAATCTTCCTGATTACTGGAAGGAAAGCCTTTGCCCAGATCTCAACAGATTAAAGTCACTCACTACAGGGTCTATCCCAAGTCGCAATGCAGCTTTAGAGCTCAGAAGTTAAGACTCAACATGATTTTTTCATTGCATCAGCTGCTGAGAGCAGAGGTGTCCCTTTTGTGTCACCTTCATAGACCTGTCAAAGGCCTTTGACCACATCAGCCAAAAACAATTCTTTACACTACTCAGTAAGATAGGACACCAACCTAGGCTACACAAGATGATCATGTCCTTTCATGAGAACATGTGCAGCACTGTCCAGTATGATGGCTCATCCTCGGACATCTCCCCTATAAAGAATGGTGTGAAACAGGGCTGTGTTCTTGCCCCAACTTCTTCTCCCTGTTGCTCTCATATGCCTTCAGCTTGACTAAAGACAGCGTGTAATCCATTCAAGGAGCAACGGGGGTCTGGTCAACCTGGCAAATCTCCATGCCAAGACAAAAGTGCAACAGGTCTTTATCCAAGAGATGTTGTTTGCAGATGATGCAGCCTTGACAGAGCACTCAGAGGAAGCTCTACAGAGTCTCATCAACTGTTTTGCCTAAGCTTGCATGGAGTGCGGTCTTATCGTTAGCCTGACAAAGAACAACATCCTGAGTCAGGATGTGTCACCTTCTCCATGCACCTTCTCCAGGTGTCGCCAACACTCCATGCATCAGCATTGGTGAGCGCATGCTTGAGGTGGTAGATGATTTTGTCTACCTGGGGTCTAGCATAACAAGCTACTTCTCCTGTGAGCAGGTCAAGCTTATTGGCAAGGCAGCTACGTCAGTGGCTTACCACTCCACGAGAGTATGGGAAAATGTGATGCTAATGACCAGTACCAAGATGAAGGTCTATCAGATTTGCGTGTTGAGCTACACTGCTTTATGGAAGCGAGTCATGGGCAACTTACAACCGCCAGGAGCAACGATGTCTCAATGCCTTCTACATGGACCGCATCAGGAAGATTTTGGGCATTACATGGCAGGACAGCTTGTGCTCTCCCAAGCCCTCATTCCCAATGTGTTCACATTCCTGTCTCAGTGATGTCTACACTGGATTCGTCCTGTCCACAGAATAAAAGATGGCAGGATCCATTAGGTTGGAAACATTAACCATGCTGCATGGGAATCCCTTGCAGATTATTGCTGTGCCTGTGGACAATCAGGTCATGTATTCACAGCAGTGAACAGAGGAGGAATGACCGCTGGAAGGAGCACATAAAGAAGAAACGCCATGGTACACCTGTATCAGTACAACAAGATGCCTCCATCTGACCCAACTGCAACAAAACACGTCTCTCCCGTATCATTCTCTACAGCCACAGCAGGCGCTTTAACTCTCCAATGGTTTGACTTAACATCCGAAGGAGCACTTTTCCATTGTCTCCCTAGACAGATGGATGCCAACCAACAGTTGTAACTCAGCTTCCTTTGTATAAGTTGTTTCCTAAACCAACGAAAGCTCAAAGAGAGGCCCCAGATATCTGAGTGGACAGATGTGTACCAATCCAGCAAGGGATATTTTGTGTGCAGAAATAACCTTCCACATGCATGACAGATGCTCACTGGTCTCCCCATCCACACTGTGGTGCTCAACCAGGCCTCAATGATCTGTTGTGATCTGTGTATAGATCTGTATGCAGTTGTGCATCCTCATCCTTACAAAGCCACCAGAATTTATAGTTAATTGCCTATGAATCAACCTGGATGGGGGCCATAGTGTTTAAGTGTCGTATCTGCAGCATAGGCAATGTTTCATTCTACCATCTGTGGGCAGTTTGTATGACTGGCTCACTATCGGTGTCCAGTTTTCAAAGAAATGAAAAGCTGTCACATTCAAAAACAGAGACCAATTAAAATAGCTTATAGGATACTGCTCTCCATTGCTACCACCACAAGATACACAAAGCTAGCAAAATCCAATTTACTAATCTAATATGAGATCAGAGTGGCCACTTTCTTATTCTGTATCTAGTGATGTATGTGCATGTGTATGTGTAATTTATGTTGAGCAGCTAATGCTCAACTATTTTTATTTTGATATGTTCTTTACACACTGCACTGAGGGCTTTGCACACTGCAAATTTATCAATTTATATACTGCTTAGATACAATTGTCTCCAAGTGATGTAGATGAACTACAATGCAAAGGAAAGGTAAAATTCAGTTAAAACTCTAAAATCAGACTACAACCAAAATGCCTGTTGGAACCAAAAAAAAAAAGTCTTCAGTAGGTGCCAGAAGTTCCACAGTGAGGGGGCCTGTCTAACCTCAACTGGAAGAATGTTCCATTGGGCCCATGATGCATTTAATATTAATATAATGCAAGGTATTTTGCCAAACAATTTTTTTTTATAGAAGAGTTTCCCAAAATGAAGTGTTTGTCTCCTTCCTTAAAGTGTGTATGTGTGTAAGAGAGAGAGCGGGGGCAGGGGGAGAGAATGAAAGACAGAATGCTGCCTGGTGGGAAGTGGTCACTGGAAATAGAAAATTCACTGAAAGTTGTAGTTGACAAGCCAGCCTGACTATGGGTGGTAGTCAACTACCGAATGTTTTACTCAGAGAAGACCCATTGAAGTAAATGAAAATGGCCAAGTTAAGACTATGAATTTTGATTTACTCTGAATAAAACTTAGTTGAATACCACCCTACAGTATATGTATATAGATCAGGCAAGCAATGTTGAAACAGCATCATGAGACCCTAATGATGTAATGGAGACTCTAAGTTTAAGGAGGAGGGAGAATCTCATGAGAGAGCCTCAGTCTGTGTTAGAAGTCTTTACCTCCCTCCACACACCAAGCTACACATTTTTTGCTTTGTTTTGTTGAGTTTCCAGTTTTGCAATAAATACATCATACATTACGATCCAGAATAGGGGTGTGTGTGTGTGCATTTCTCATTCAGACCAGTGGAAAGGCTATTCTGCCAGAATAAACATTGCCTCCTCACCGACACACCCTCTCCTGTGAGGGCCGAACAAGACTGAATCTGCCAGACTCTGTCACGGATCGTGTGCAAGTTCAGACCCTCTACAATCTCTGCAGCAGGGGCTGCCGTCAGCAAATCTTGTTTGTTCGCAAAGATGAGCACAGGAACACCACTTAGCTTCTCTTCATCTAAGAGTTCCGCTAGCTCCTGTAAGAATCATAAAGATGCAGCCAGTATTTTTAAAAAGCCTTTGGCAATGGGAGGCTGACTGTTGTATCTAAGTAGTTGTACATGTTTTAGTAACATATAGGGAAAATAGTAAATGCTAATGTTTCAACAAAGCACAGATGTTATGGTAAAACAAGCAACTGGTACATACAATTACTGAGACAAAGATTTAAAAGCAAATCCCTCTGTCTATGGAACGGAGAAAGTTTTAGCTCAGTCCAATATTACCAGTTGTTTTCAAGGCACTGTCAATCCCAACCCTCTAGAGATCAGCACTGATGACGCAGCAAAAATACATGCTGGCACAGTTATAACTTGACTTGCTAGTAGAATGGAGCGGCCCTTGAAAACAGGTGGTTTTATCCTACATATGCTTCAAATTCTGCAGGAATGCTAAGAGCAAGCTTTGAACTTTGTTCCAGTTTAATCTACTGTAATTCATGCATAGGACATCACTGATAAAATCTCTATCCAGAAACAAGCTCATCTTCATAAAAGGCAGCTGTTCTGGCTACTAAAAGGGATGCAAAGTGCTCATACAGACATCATTTGTTGATAATATCAATGAATGCGTTAGGGATTAGATAGTTAAAGAAAATGGGGAATGGAGCCTGCTAAATCTCATTCTAAACTTGTTGTAAGATGGCCTTAGAACTGTAAGGAAACAGGCCTAAAATAATGGGCAGGTGCCTGGGAATGTTAAACCCTTCAGTCCTAAACTTGCAGTGAAAGGTACCAGAAGGAACAATACCGGCAGAGGTAGAACAGAATTCATAGATGGGTGGTTAGCAAGTCCTTTACAGATGTTGTTGAAGATTATCAATGCACGATTATTTCTGATGCACTTTGTAGTCCACCACCACTAGCACATTATTATAGAAGCACATCCATGCTGTGTATTCTGTAATTGAGCACTATGTCCCTGTATGCTATACAAATCTCTGTAGTCTTAATTATGGTAGCCAGATAGCTAGAAATGGATATAGCTGTACCAGTCTTAACTGTCCCCACAGAACAATCCTATTTCTGTGGGTTTTACTTGAGGAAAACAGAAAAGAGCTTAAAAACTCAGAAGAGTAGCCTAAACATTCATTAATTCATTTGGCAGAAAACAATAATTTAAACTTAACAAGGCTTAGCTTGCTTTTAAAACAGCAAACTGTACATCAGTCCCTTTTCAAATGTCTGACAGTGTTCTATGTATTTATACATTATATATACATTATAGAAAAAGGCGTAAAGCGATTTCATGAAGGTGTGCATTACTTACCTGACCCGTTTCTTCAAATCTCTTTCTATCTGCACTATCAATGACATAAATCTTAAAAAAAGGCAAAATAGAATGCAACATTAGCCAGGAAATAATAATAGCCCATTTCCAATCACATTGACTTGGCATTACTTCCTTTTTAAGGAACCTGCAGTCAGGAAAACTTTTATTCACCTATATATCATGTCTGAAAATCCCCATTATTCTGATAGTGGATGGTTGTACCTTGGCAAGATTCAGCACAGATATTTATTTTGGCGTGTGTGAATACAAACATCCATTTACCAAGTGATAAGTTACTAAAATGTGTCTATAATTACATAATCAGTGTGGGGGGGGGACTCACTGCACTTCCACACCTCAGCAGAAGGGGAAGCAGGGGGTCTTGAAAAATTGTTCATCACATAGCTCTTTATATCCCATCAGTGTCTTCTCACTCCCCATAATGTCTTCTTCCTTTTTGTGGGTTGGATGGAAAATTTTCTTACCCCGGCTATTGTCAGCCATTTACAACTTACAGCCAGCAAGAAAAGATTCCAGAAAATCAATGCATTCAGCCCAAATTTTAGCTTATATTATCCAACTGAAAATAAGCTAGACAGTGGCCACATTTGGATGATCATATCTTAACAAGCTGAAAGAAGAACAAGCCATTTCGAAACAGGCTGTCATTTACCTTCTCCCTTCATGTGAGTTGCAATTAAAGCAGGAAGTCTGTAATTCAAATAAAAATTAAAAATTAAAAAATTGTCCAGTAGCACCTTATGGACCAATGAAATTTGTTCTGGTGTAAGCTTCTGTGTGCATGTACACTTCTTCAGACAAAAGTTTATACCAGAACACACTTAGTTGGTCTATAAGGTGGTACTGGACAATTTTCAATTTTTTTATTTTTATTTTGACTGCCTTAGATCAACACGGCTACCTACCTGAATCTTTAATTCCAGGGGGCCACTAGGGGGCGCATTGGAAGATGGCCGACAATACCATCTCTCCGACCCACACGGGGTAATTAAGAGGCTGTTATGGGAGTAGGCAGCCTCCCTTGTTGCCCCAAGGAAATGGGGAACACTGCCCTTGCCTGCTGTGCCCATAAATCACCCCCTAATTCGAAAGAAGGGGGTGAGGGCCCTAGGCAGAATGCCCCCGTGTGGACATCGGCTCTCCTGGACGCTGTCTCTGATCGCGCACTAGTTGCAGCAATTTGGAATAATTAATTACAAAAGAAGCAAATGCACATATTTCAAGTGAAGAAGGGGGTGAAGTCTGCTAATTTAAGTGACCTCTGCGAAAGAAGACGACGGGCTGGAGAAACAGGAATATTTTACGATGAAGATACACCAAAGGCGGGGTATGTTGACAACGGGGCTGAATGGGGGGGGGGATAACCTTTTTTACTTTCCTTCTATGTGATTTACAAGAACCCCTCCTCATTAGAACCGTCGGTTGAACTGACCCAAGCAGGATGATTAAGGTCTGTGTGGAGATAAACTTTAACCAAAAGTATGCTTTATGGAGACCGAGAAGCAATAAGAGCTTTTGGGAATGGCGCAGCAATTAATTCGGAGTCGCCATCTTGCCAAAGGATTTACAGCCGGGAGGAAGAACGGATTTGTTTTCAGACTGCATTCCTAGTGAATCTCCTCAGAGGTTTTGAGAAAGGAGGCAGATTGGTGAAGATTAATGACGCTAAGACTGTTTTGATGTATGGAAGTGATGTTATATGGAAAACGTCTGGATATGGCTACTGGATAAAAAAATAATATCCATGCAGGATTACAAACTGTTCTAACCAGCTTGCGGAGACTATCAGAGGTCACAAAGAGAAAGGAAAAATATATGAAAATAACAACAAGAGATGTGGAAAAATAATAAGAAAGGACTGGATAGTACTGTGAACATCATAAGGTTAGATTTGTGGACATTAAAACAGCAGTAAGAAGCAAGAAGTTGATTGGATCCCTTCGGAACTTGAAATATGGGTACCCCCCCAAAAAAATTAAAATTCGGCTCTGTAATTTGGAATTTATGTAATTTGGTTTGATTTGATCTGATTGGTCGGTTAATAAAAAATTATTCTTAATTTTTTTTTTTTTTTAAAAGAATCTTTAATTCCAGGGTAGGCGATGTGGTACCCTCCAGACATTGTGGGGCTACAGCTCCCATCTGTCTCAGCCAGCTAAATGTCAGGAATGATGGAAGCTGCAGTCCAACAACATCTGGAAGACACCATGTTGGCTCCCCTTTTCTAATGAATTGTGTCTTCTTATTTTGTCCAGACTGAGAAATGATGGTTACCATCTTTGTAACAATCCAGGAATGTAGACCACATATTGAAGTTGGTTTAGAATTCCGGGTTTTTCCAAAGATAGTAACCATAATTTCCAGGTTTGGGAAAAAACAGGAAAGTATGGGAAATTGTGTCAAAATGGTAGGGAGGAAAGGGGCCATGACCTTAGGCAAAAGGCTCACTCACATCTCAGCTTTATTAAGCCAAGATATGCTCATCAAAACTGGGTCACTGTAATACTTGGGCATATGGCCTGGCAACCAGCCTCAACAACTTTGATCCTTAGGATAGTTAGTAGTTACAGAACCAGCCATGGGGCAAAATGGTATATTACCCCAAAGAAGACAATGTTTATAGTAATAGGGCACTTTTGTTGTGAGGGTGAAAGACTGGTTTAGTCCTCACTTAGGCTGCACTTACAGAAGCATCCACCAGATCCCTACAGCATCTGGCTGTTCCCCAAGGACCTCTTATCTGAGCGTAACTTGTGAAAAGCATCTCATTCACAACTCGAGACTGCAGACCTTGTGGCAATGCCACAGTGAACAGCACTGCACCAACCAAGGTAGATACACGTCAATTGCCTACTTCCCATAACTAGAAGGCTCGATGCCAAATAGCTGCAGGTGTGTGTCTGAATATGCAATCATTCAAATATACACACCTTTATTTGACTGTGCATAGCTTCCAAATAGCACAGGTGTGGGTAGCTGGAGTATCTCCCATTCAAGAACACCTGCATGTTTATGAATGTGCAATCACTTCATGTGTTAAAAATATTCTTGGAGGGGCCTCACACTTGTGTAATACTCTTCAGTTTAGAGCGGAGACAGGCATCTTAGTTAGCAAGCTGTCTTGTTTCCAAGGCACACAGGGCTAGTTTGGGTTCTGTGTTCCAGCATTTCCTTCAAAACATTTTTGTAAATGATAGATCAGAAAGGGGGAATGCCCCTGCTCATGGATTTAGGTTTGTTTTTTTAAAAAGAAAGAATGCCCATAGGCAATCAAAGTGAATCAGATATAAAGGAAATCTGGGCAAATGATGGCATAAATTATAAAATGGATTGAAGTGATAAAATTTATTTTACATTAATTTGCCTACTCTTGTGTTTGCAAACGTCAAGGTTTTCTTGTTGAGATTCCTAGACTGCAGATGATGGGGGTTCCTAAGTGTCCATTTGGTCTTAGTTTAAACATACACTACTTCTTCCTTTCTTGGGCAGTGGGGCTTTATGGGGAATTTTATATGTATTTTTAGAAACTGAAAAATAAAGAAGTTTAAAAAGCACCTTCCATCTTTGTCTCTATACAAGAACTGCATAGATATATGAGTTGAATAGTTGATTAACTGTTCGAAATCTTCATGACTTAGCTAAACCTGCCAAGATACAGGATTTACAGATATTCGGTAGCATATGCTACCTCCCCTCAATAGAAGAGGAGGCAGGGGGACTGGTAAAATGATCTTAATCACTTAGCAGCCAAGTTCCCCATCCCACAATCCTTTATCCTAGCTATAACAGATACTCTGCTTTTTGAATGGATGTGCCTGCAGTACTGCACTGGGAACATGTTCAGTTAATTGCTGCTATCAAAGAAAGGTGCAGAGTCCTGAAGCCTGCAGTTAACTTCCATAGAATCTCCCCGGTGATGTCAGTGATACACTTCTTTACCAGACTGGAGTATGTTGTTAAGATCTACTTTGGAAGTTCTCCTCAAGATTCCCTTGCTGGAAGATGTTAAGACAGGTGCCAACAAGAGAGTGCACCTTTTCAGTGATGCTGCCCTGCAGCAGCAGTCAATCCAATGCTCCCACTGCCACACCCTACACTGGGCCAAGCTTCCCACACCTTGCCCCTACCCTCTCAATAAGCACCAGGGACCTGCTGTGTTGGGAAGCCGAGAGAGCAATGGTGCCCCACCCAAGTCGCTCCACCACTTGTTTCTAGTGCCCTGCCTGTTAATCCCCTTCCCCAGGCAGGTTTGTGAGGCACCAACACTGGTGTCCTTTGGGTGTCCAAATCTTTTATTTTCTCCAGGGCTTTTAACTGAGCAATCTATATACTTCCTGCTTTTCTTTGATTTATTTCATCTTTGCTGTCACAACTGCCCTTCGGCTTTTTATCTGTACATTTTTATTGTTTCAACTGGACATTTTGTTTTTGCAAGATGCTTTTGATATAGTTATATAGAAAATAAATATATAAATCCATATATAGGATTTTTCAGGCTCTGCATGTGTAAAAGACTGCTCACACTACAGAGTGCCTTCTGTCCTCTTCTCCCCACTGAAGTAGGCAGCCTCTGATCAACTCTTGATGATTCCCCTCTCCCCACTACTGCCACCCTCCATACTATATAACAGGCCTTTCCACGGGATGCTAGGCTTACACAAAGTCTGGATACAACCCATAGAAATTGGTTCGTGGCTGTCTGCAGGAGAAACCCAAGTATTCAGTCTGCCCTTTGCAGTTCTGACTTTTGCCCATCACCAGTCCTTTCTGCATCCAACAGTGCACTACTGCCTCACTGATGAAGCCATGATAACAATATGGCAAGCTGTCAGCCAAGCAGACCTTGCCAAAGAGCAAAATGTCATCAAGGGACTTGTCTTCCTTGATCCTCTGGTTAGCAGGCCTTCTAAATGCTTCTTCAACTGTGCTTCAAAAAGCCAACTGAATGAGCTGGTATAGGATAACACCTCAGGGCAGGGGCTATGTGTTCCCAGTTCAAATTTCACCCAATGGAAAGGCTGTGATTGCTACTATCCCAAATTCCAATTGGGCAGGGGGAATACACCAGCACTAAGCCCCAATGTGAGCAGGATTACTGCCAGAAGAATCTTTATGTTGATAGAACACTGCTACTATGTGGAACAAACCTGGGGCAGGGCGGCACAATGCCACTCGTCTGCTTCTGTGGCTGTTTAGACAGGGAACTATACTGCTCCCTTTTCTGCATCTGAATCGCCCTAGTGTGACTGTATTCTCTGGAGTGTTTTGATGAGTTCCTGTGCAGAAGCACTGTACTCATAATAGGTTTTACCTATTATGGAGGGAGCATGGATTCTTCTCCACTGAGGTATGGAGCTGGCATGGTGTTATAACCGACACTCCTTTTTCTGTGTGTAGCCCTTGAAAAAATGTGCTTGTTTGTAGAACCTTATCATTAGAGAGTCATTAATGAATTTCCAGGGATACTATGGGTGACCTGTACATGTTGGTGTACTGCTGTTTGTTTCTCCACCTACTGTTCTAGCATTGCCTCTGCTGCTGAGAGCAGCATTGCTGCTATGTCACATTGGTGACAGATCTGGCACAGCAGGATAGTTGAATTGTCCAGTTAGGCAGCAGTAATCTCTTAGCATCAGTTCACCACTTGCAATATGGAGATAATACTGATTTCTCTTACATGACTGTTGTCATAAATATTACTAACATAATGAATGTGAAGACTTTTGAACATTCAAAAAGGAAATGGCATCTGGGAGTCATATAAGTGTCCTTCAAAAGATGCCATGGAAGGAAGAGCTCCATAAAATGTTGTTTTAATTGTGCAATGTGGTTGTACTTTGGTGGCACCCTTACTGTGTGTTTTGTAGAGTACTGAAGAAGAAGAAAAGCACTTGAGAATTGCACCTAATAATTTGGTTCATATTTTTCAGCCTGGAACACAGAGCTACTTCAAAGGGAAGGCAAAACCAAATGGAACTGTCACATAGCACACTGTTGAGAGACCAGTTAAAAATAAATGTTTCTGCAGATTTCATAATTCACGTGCACACACTGCCTCTGCAAGAATGTTCGGACTGGCTGCAAAACAAATGACTTTGATTGCAGTATTTCTTAGCTGTTAAAGTCACTATAATATTCAATGTAGCATTCAGCAGTGGCCAATGCTTACCAGGATATCAGTGTTCTCAAAATAATTCCTCCAGTATGGCCTGATCTTCCTCTGTCCACCAATGTCCCACACATTCAGCTTGAAACCTTGTGCTTGCACGCTTTTGATGTTAAAACCCTGTGACAAGCAGAGATAAAGTATAACTGGTGTTAACGTGATGCCTGGCTTCAGATTCACAGGCACACATCAGTCACAGTTTATATATCACAACTCTGGAAACCCTAACAAAATAAACCCCGTGCTGCTATTCAGATGGATTGGCTGTGGGCAAGGTGAAGGCTATAGCAGCCTTGCATGGATCAGGGTCTGTTTCTGTCAAAGCTATAAAGATGTATGTTGCAGCTCATAACAAGAAAGGAAGGTGCAGTGGGAGGTGAGAGAACAATGCAGATAAGAAGTAATCACATAGCCTTGCAAGGAAGGAGTAAGCCTCAGCTACTGAAAGCTGAGGCCAATGTGCAGGCTAACGAGAAGCAGAAGTCTGTATGTGAGTTGATATGAGAAAACTAGAAGCAACAGCTGCACTTTTGAAGGGCCCATTTCATCAATTAAAGCTCCAACTGAAAGGGGAGTGCAACCGGAAAAACAGGATGTGGTGCAGGCTGGCAATGAGCTGCCACACAATACAGGGGATTGGCTTTAAGCTTGGAATCTGAGGGTGGGCTCTTTCTCTAAGGCGTGGGAGCATCTCATAGGCAATGTGCTCCATCTTGAGGACTGGGGGAAGGAGATCCAACCTTGTACAATCTCTAGCACCATCCACTGGCCAACACTGGGATGGTGTCAGTTGAGCAACTAATGAAAGATACCGTACTTTAGCCCTTAAAAAAAGCTCTGGAGAGTTGGTGCATGTAGAGAGGACAGAGGGACACTGTGTGTGTTGCAGTTTTGAAGTATACATGTGAAATATCTGCACCGTGTATGTGCTGAACTGCAACACTGAAGGACGTAACAACATGCAGCTTGGTTTAATCTTCTGATTCTCTAGTGTGTGTTCATAGTATGAGAAGTTTTAAAGCAAGAAATGCATACACTCTACAACTGTTACCATTCCATTGGGCACATGCACACCCCTTCAATCTGCACACCACTATATTAACATGTGAGGAAAAGAGTCATAGTTCACTTAGAAAGCACATGCTCTGTGTGCTAAAGGTCCCAGGTTGAATCCCTGTGATCTCTAGGTAAGGCTGAGAAAGGGTCCTGCCTGAAACCCCTAGAGAGCCGCTGCCAGTAAGTCTGGACTACAATGTGCGAGATGGAGAAATAGCCTGACTCAGAATACGTGGGGCTACCTTTGAAGGTGACCTAGAATGCAGCAGCTAGGCTGGTTCCTGGGAGTGGCCACCAAGACCATATAACACCAGTCCTGAAAGACCTACATTGGCTCCCAGTACGTTTCCGAGCTTCAAAGTGTTGGTGCTGACCTTTAAAGCCCTAAATGGCCTCGGCCCAGTATACCTGAATGAGCATCTCCACCCCCATCGTTCTGCCCGGACACTGAGGTACAGCTCCGAGGGCCTTCTGGCGGTTCCCTCCCTGTGAGAAGTAAGGTTACAGGGAACCAGGCAGAGGGCCTTCTCGGTGGTGGCACCCGCCCTGCGGAATGCCCTCCCATCAGACGTCAAGGAAATAAACAACTATTTGACTTTTAGAAGACACCTGAAGGCAGCCCTGTTTAGGAAAGTTTTTAATGTTTGATGTTTTATCGCTTTTTAAAAATTATTAGTAATATTCTGTTGGGAGCCGCCCAGAGTGGTTGGGGAAACCAGATGGGCAGGGTAATAATAATAAATTAGTAGTAGTAGTAGTAGTAGTAGTAGTAGTAGTAGTATAAGGCAGCTTTCTATGGCCTTAGGAAGTGGCTGTATGAGGTAAAAGCTATATGAGTCCCAGAACTGTGGGTATACTACTATTGGAATAAAGGAAAATGAAGGGGGAAAAGTACATAGGTGTTGTGGCATCTGTAGCAGCTTTATTTTTAATTTTTTTAATAAAAAATATTATATTTTACTTTTGGTTGCAAGACAGATTCTGTTTGCAGCCACCCTTCCCTCTCTATCCTTCAAATTTCAAGATTTAGCAGAGCACCAAAAGCCTCGTTCCTTACCTGTGTGGGAGTAATGTGGGTGATGTCTTCAGATGCTAGTTGTTTCAAAAGTGTGGTCTTGCCTGCATTATCCAATCCCAGGAGGAGGATTCTTACCTCCTGGTCTGGTGCACTCTTCAATTTGCGCAGAATTGACAGCAAACCCTGTTAGTGAGAAAGGGCAGGAGATGTTACTTGCTAGATGTTATTTTTATCATCGTTGCCAAAAATCAATGAGAAACAGAAAGAAAGGAGATCCTGAATAGCCTTATAACACATGAACAAAATGTACAAGTTGCTGCCTGTAGGTTGATGATCTGTGATACATGAGACAAAAAGAAAGGGGATTTGAAAGAGGGATTTTCCACTTATTGAGTGAGATTAAAAGGAAGCAGGAGAGTAAACACAGAACTATTTGGTAATTAACATAGCACTAAAATAATTTTTTTAAAAAAGAACATCAAGAAAGAAATGCAAAAGAAAATATAGACGTTTTAATAATTTCCTAAAGTAGGATAATGAGGAGGTCAAGTGACTAGATAAAGGAAAAGAGTTCCTTACATTTAGGAGAGTGGAAACATCAAAATAAGAAAGAGCACAGGGAGATGGAAGTTTAATAATATTTTTTTTGATGAATGAAGGGGCTGCAGAGGAGACTAGAGTGAAGGGAGAAAGCAAGAAAGGCAGATTACAAGTGGCAAGGCCACAAGTGGCTATTAGCACTGAAAGGTAGCAAAAAAACAAAAAACAAAAAAGAGGAAAAGGAAAAGGAAAATAAAGAGATGATAGCATGACCAGAACAATGAAAGAAGAATACAAGCAGCAGAAGGGAGAATAAGATAAAGATGTTGAAAAATAAGAAAGAAAAATAATCAAAGTGGGTGGATCTGTGCAATAACTTTGCAACAGAAGTAACGTATAAATAAAAATATAGGTCAGAATCTCATAACACACCAGCACTATGAAAAGAAGCAGCTGCAAAATATATATTTTAAAATAAACCACAATAAAATTATGTTGTAGAATCCAGAATGAGATTGCAGCTAGATAGTACGTAACACGTAAGAGGTAGAAAATATTTCCAGAAGGGTATCAGTGTTAGTTTGTTGCAACAACTATCATGTGGCACACTTTAAGACTAACAAGTTAGTGATGGCATAAACTCTCATAGACCAGAGTTCATCTCATCAGGTACCTAAGAACGAAAGATAGCACTGAGGCAGAAAAATAAATGTGAATGCTATGAGCATAAATAGGGCAATTCAAACCAAATAAGTGAATTAAATGTCCAAGTGGGAGGCTGTACAAGGAAAAAAGTAACAAGTCCTAAAACCATGTTGCATGGGACAACAGACAATGGAAATAGAAATATATATGTCTGTAACATGATTAAAGCACAAATGGAGAAAAATTAAGAGAACAGAGAAAATAGGCTTAAGCTGAGAGACAAGAGATTGACAAGCAAAACATGACAACAACCCATGCAGGATAGAACGAGGGTCTGAAATGAGGATTTTACTAGAATCAGGGTGGATTTTAAGAGATATAGTATACAGAAAGAAGTCTTAACTAGAACAGTAATACAAGCTGAGAAAGAAGAATGCCCAAGCTCCTAACTTGATTTTCCATGCATGGACCTAACCCTTATTTTGGTGTGTCCATGAACCTATAGCAACAAATGATAGCACCTGCTCAGAGGGGGGGGTCCTAAGATTTATCACCTCCTTCTCATTCTTCCCATTTGAAGGCCATTTTGCCCCCTCATGCAGCTCCCACTAGTGTTAAGAACTGCCATTAATATTAGATCGTATCAGCAGATCTGAAAAAGCAGAGCACTAAATCATTCATATCAGGGTGTTAGGTCTCAAGATTTAGGGCAGTAAAGAATTTCAGTTAAGCTGCTGAATTAGTTTTATTACTTTTGCCACCAGCCAATCTTCAGTTATACAAAATCCCATAATCCAAATCCTCCCTCTACATTCCGACTAGCCATGCCATGAATTCTTACCTACTAATGATTCAGTTTATCCACAGCCCCTTGTATTTATTCTCTGAACCATTCTAGGCAAATGATACATTCACATGTCAGCGTTTTCATGATGTATCTATTGCAAACCTCTCAATTGCCTGCATTGTGTAGCTAAGAAAGTTGAGCAGATTTAAGTGAGAGATCCTTGAGCTGAGAGTAGCTTTCAGGGTTTGGGAACAGAAGATCCCTGTGAGTTTATTTGCATTGCAAAAATGCTAGAAATAATTGTGCGCATTGGTGGTGCCAGCACTCAAACACCTGTACTACTTTAAAAGAAGTGTCAGCTGGAAGGGCATGTCGGGCACTGATATGTAAATGTATCTGGGCTGCTTTCTTACATCTATGTAAGATGCAGATCAGCCAGATTGGCCACTGGGTGACAAAAATATTATTAAAGCCAAAAGATCTGCTTTCTACTTCTAGCTTTGCTAGCAACCTGTCACAGGTCACCTGTGACATCTGCTGTTATTGCTTGTATTTTCCCTGTGCTTGTTTCTCCTCCAGTTTCATATGACTGACTGCAACATTCTTAAAGCCAACAGCATAGCTTAGTAAATTATAAGAAGTGCTCTTGGTCACATCACAGCCAACTATCAACTCTAAACTCTGGTTTTTGTTCTTTGTTTTAGGTACATAATATATATTTCTAATAAATAGTACTTGAGCTTCGTCTCATTGCTAATCCCCTCCATAGCATTTAGAAAAGGTATTCTGCGGCTCACCATGACTCATTTAAAAACACTAGCATATGTTCCTTCCGTCTAGGTGTAGAGCAGTATACACGTGTAAGCGACGGTACACAATAACAACTCAATTATTTTAATTTATCAGTTGTGGAAAAATGTTCTTTTCTATCAAGGATGCATGTATTAATAATAAGTTCCATGGGGTCATTGTTGATTTTAATTTTAAATAATTAAATATTTTGAGTGTGGGCAAAAACCAAACATATCTTACATTCCAAACATACAATAACTGAACATCGTTACTGGCATTTTGTCAGGAAAAACTATGCTGAAGCAAAAGGATTTTTTTTAGGCTGAAAACACACCACTGGTGTAAGTTATTTTGTTCTGAGCATACACTTGATAAGCAACAGTTATTTCACAAAGGCCATAAAGGGAACCACTAACATATTAATCTTGAACATGATCCAGCCATACATTTTTTATATTGAGACACTGAGATCTGGCAGAGACAGAGGTGTTGCATTTATACAGGCCATCCAACCATGGAATTCCCTTCCTCTCCAAATAATATTTTCAAGAACCATTATGAGTTTTTACCAGTAGTTAAGAACTCATATTTTTGGCCCAGGTTGATTTCCCCCCCTCCTCCGCATTTGTATTTTTATTTGTACTAGGTGCTCTTTATTTTAACTGTGCAGAATGATTTAAATTTGTTCATAATGCTTTAATTGTTGTTGGAAATCAATCTGGTAGGCATATTGCCTGAAAATTAAGTCTATAAACCTAATTAACAACAACAACAACACTCAACAACACTTTGAAGACATGCACTTATAAACATGCATTTAGTTATCCTGTTGAAATCAGTAGAACTTGAAAATATTTATATTGGGATGGGTTTTGTCCCCTTTCTGTATCATTTTTAAAGCTGCAAAATACCTCACAGTAAATATTTATTTCAAAACAACGCTATTATGACTAATACACAAACTAGGGTAGAGAGTAATTAAGCTGCCCAAGATCAGCAAACAAGTTAAAGAAGGCCTTGAACTCCGGTTGTCATGATCTAAGTATGTCATGAGCCAAGTATCTATCCACTACTAGAGCACTCTGTCCCTTGAGCTCCACAAAATACTCTCCATATCCAAATATAAAGCATAAAGAGGGAGTACCAGATTGTCGGTTTATTTGAACAGTTACACGTGCTAGTACAATGTTAAAGCATAGCATTAAATAGCTATAGTTCTCCTTCTTTAAAACTTGCTATTCTTTTAACTCTACACCAGGGGTAGGCAACCTAAGGCCCGGGGGCCGGATGCGGCCCAATCACCTTCTCAATCCGGCCCGCGGACAGTCTGGGAATCCGTGTGTTTTTACATGAGTAGAATGTGTGCTTTTATTTAAAATGCATCTCTGGGTTATTTGTGCAGCATAGGAATTCGTTCATTCCCTCCCCCCCCCCAAAAAAAAATACTCCAGCCCCCCCACATGGTCTGAGGGACAGTGGATCGGCCCATGGCTGAAAAAGGTTACTGACCCCTGCTCTACACTGTATCAGTTTTCTTGTTGTAATCCGTGTCACATAGCTGTTGACATCAATAATGTATTTATAGGACAAATGCAGAAGATTTCAAATATGTACTAAGGGGAAAACATCATGGAAAAATATACACATTTTAAAAATGCCTGTTATTTTCTACCGAAGTGACCCATATAAGAAATACCATAGAGAGAATTGCCGCACATGCTATTGGCTAGTAGTAGGGAGGCTTGCCAATCACTAAAGAACAGAGAGCGGAATCCCATTAGAGGAGAGAAGTAAATACCTGCTGTTTATCTGGATTAGCCATAAAGCTTTGATAATGAATTTAGAGTGCAAGTACAAAGAAATCTGCCTTTGGTAACCAGCAAATGTTTACTTAGTTGATGTGGTATTTCTCTAAAGATCAAGTCAAGTACAGCTGTCCTGTAAGATAGTCCTAAGGTTGCTTCCCCAATAGTAGATTTCATTGAATTCTATCTTCTCTTTGTCCCAGAACTATCAGCCTTAGCAGCAACTGTGGTAAGGCAAGGTAGAAGTGTGTGGCACAGTAACTATATGGCTGAGTCCTGTCTTGGAATGTGGGATTAGGAAGGGAGGAAATCTACATGACATCAATCTAACACAGCTAAGGCTGAACTGTAATGTGTGCAAGCCTTTCAGTCTGCCCCACCCTAAAATGCTATTTGTCTTTGCACCAACAGCAGAGGGGCAATAGTGTGGCCTTTTAAAAGGCAGCTGGCAGGGGACTTCTTGGGGAAAATACCCCTTCCTGCCGGCAGAGGAGATCCTCAAAATCCTATGCTCCCTGGTATGTCCTCCTGGAAACTATAGAACTATATCCTTCGATGACTTTAAAAGATTAGAGAAATTTATGGAATATAGGTCTATAGTCATTAATATTTATTGGTCCTTTGTGTAATTAGGTTACAAAGTTCTGGGTGGAAGAGTGTGTGGAGTGTATTTGTCATGACCTTAATAAACTAGCTGATGCCACGAAATGTATTTGATTATCTTACTCCTGCATCTCAGGGCTGAGCTGCATACAGTATTAGTACTAGCTGCATTAGTAGCATAACTTTATATGAACAAGCTGTGAGGGCTAACAATTATCACACAGCCACAGTATTTTTCAAAATACTGATGAAGTGCAGAAGTTTCCCATATTTCTGAAAAAATACTACAGAAATTATGAATAATGATTTTGAATATTCATCCTCAGGCAAATCTATGGTACAACTTCAAATTATCATCATAATCACTACTACCCACCCATCCACCCATAGGTCCCAGGGTAGGCTACAACAATTTAAATAGTTTGCATTTCTTAACAGCAAATGTTTAATCACAAAACCAGTGTGGAATCTAAAAATATACAATCCAAGAGTGTGGGATAATCAGTCTCATATAACCAACATGCTTAAGTCTAATTAATGCATGAAGGGGTTGATACCACAGAGTAAGCTACCCTGTCAGGCTTAGCTATGTCATTTCCCTTCACCTTGGGAGGAAAGAGGTAAACAAACACCCACCCATCCCACTTAGTGTACCCAAGAAGCTCAGCATGTGAAGGTTTGAGTTGGTTGCTCCAGCAAAATTGCATGGCTCTCACCAGCCACTCTTCAGTTCCTATACCAATACAGTGGTACCTCCGGTTAAGAATTTAATTTGTTCCGGAGGTCTGTTCTTAGCCTGAAACTGTTCTTAACCTGAGGTACCACTTTAGCTAATGGGGCCTCCCGCTGCTGCTGCCACGCAATTTCTGTTCTCATCCTGCAGCAAAGTTCTTAACCCGAGGTACTATTTCTGGGTTAACGGAGTCTGTAACCTGAAGCATCTGTAACCCAAGGTACCACTGTAATCTCTAGGCACTTTTATTACTTTGTAACTAAGCTAAGTTTTACTGCCTGTGAAACTTTTTCTGAATGCACATGAATCTGACCTTTGGAGAGTTTGTAGATAAACCATTTTTAATTTTCCAAGTGTGTGGTATTCATCTTTGCTGGGGGAAGTGGGAAACTTTGTAACTCACTTAGAAGGGGCTATTTTAAAGGTCTAACAGGCTATATTTCCACACTTTATAGGGAAGGAGGTGGTGTTGGAACACTTTGTACACCTCTAAGTCACCTCAAAAAGAATATTGTAATGCTGGAAAAGGTTCAGAAAAAGACAACAACAAAAATCAAGGGACTGAAGCAAAACCCCTTTCATCTTACAATGTTTAGGACTTTTTTCATTTACAAAAAAAAGGGGAGTAAGGGGGATACAGGTTTATAAGACTGTGCATAGATTGTGCAAAAGCTGGTAAGCAGTGGTTCCTGAACTCCCTCATAATTCTAGAATCAAAGGTCATCAAGTGAAGATGTGTGGTAGGAAACTAAGAAAAGACAAAAGGAAGTACTTCTTTACACCATAGTTAAAACTTTGGAATTTGCTGCCAAGCTGGTTGGCTTTAAAAAATGAATGAATATAAATTCATGGCGAGTAAAGTCATCATTGCTTGTTATCCACAGTGGCAATTTACTACCTGAAAAATCAGAGGCAAGGTGCTTCTAAATACTAGCTGTAGGGGAAAGATAATAGGAAAGTGCTATATCATTCATGTTCCACTTGTAGGTTCCCCATGGGCATTTGGTTGGGCATTGTGGGAACAGAATGCTGAACTAGAAGAGTTTTTCCTCTGATCCAGTTTGACTCCTCTTATCAGATAATGCTTGCTGCAGATCAAGTAAGCTAGTAAGGAGATGAACACATAGAAGATCTGTAACACCAGAATTAAAAAAACAAACAAACTGCAATGTGTTCTTGCATATATTTAAAGCCCTGTAAGAAGGTGCATTTCACTTCTATTTCACATCTTTCTTTGACCATCTGTGGGGAAAACCCCGGGATTCCTCTTGATCCAATTCCACTTCGAAAATGTGTTATTTCAACAACCCAACCCACTCTCTTCTCCCCCTAAGGTCCCCCCCTGAGAATCCCGCAAATCCCATCTCAACCTGTCCTGCTTACAGCTGCCACGTGTCATTATAAAACAACAACGAAGATATTGCCCCTTGAACAGCAACCTTTCAGTCTCGCAGAAGACTGTACTGTATCTCATAGAATACGGGGGTGGGGTGGGTAACCGTGTTGCAATTCTTTACATGCTATTCTCGCAGCTTCCCAGAGCACATCCAATAACTCGCAGTTTTGAAATAATAAAACAGATGAAGGGGTCCTTATTTCTGATTTTAAATAAATAAATAAAAACAAATTAAAAATAGAAATCTGGCGATCTCAGCCTCTCCGTTCCCCGCGTCACCTGAGCGGTTCCTTTAGCTCCAGGTACACGACTCCCGCCCCTCCCTTCATCCAGGCCCATTCATCGTCTCCTCATCCATCCCTTTAGAGCAGCATCCCTCTCCCTCAACACGGAGCGCTCCGCCGCCACAGGGCGGATCCTGCCCCGCACCCAGTACAGGGCGGAGGGCCGGTTCTGCGCTCCCGCTTCCCACAACGCCCTCCCGGGCCCCCCTCGGCCTTCTCCCCCTCCTAATCTTTCACTCACCATCCTCTACGCGGCTCCCGGTTACCATGGGCAACTGCGTCATGCGCGCGCGCGCACTGCATTCCTCCCACGTAGAACGTCCGTCCCGAGTTCGACGCACGAGCTCCGCCCACTACCCTGTTCTCTCCCCTCCCTAACCCTCCAAAGAACCCAGCCTCCTTCTTCGTCAGATACATGCGGCCTGCGTCGACGCAGGCACCGACGCGACTAAGCCAGCCTTTCATTGGCTGAGGAGAGCCACGCATCCTCGGCGGGGCGGGGTTAGAAGCGGTGCCCATGTGCGCGAGAAAGGAAGGCGGCGGCATTGCTGATTGGTGCTTGGCGAGCTGCAGGTAGGAGTGAGCGGTAGTCGGGAAGCGCCACGAGGAGTTAGGAGTTAGAGTAAGAGAAAACCATAGAGGCGGCCTGGCTTGCTTTCCCGCGGAATGCAGGACACGCCGGGGAGGGAAGGACAACATGTAATAATAATAAGTAATAAGTAATGTAGCAGAAGGGGAGAAGTTTAGCAAGACGCGAGGCATGTGTGGTGCTGCGCTCTTAGGGTATTAGTGACACTGAGTGTTTCTGCACTGTTAGAAGGAAAACCTGTTGTTATATATATACGTTTGTGTGTGTATGCATATGCATATACATGCAGCTGTGAGAATGTCGCTCATTTTTGCGGGGTGTGAAGCGGAAGAGTTCAGTAGTGAAGGTAGGCACTGGCGTGCCAACTTCCGTGGCATGAGAGAAGAGCAGATTGGACAGAGGATGGAGATGTTTGGGGCTGCGTACTCACCATTTAGTTACAGCAGACGCACACACCCTAGCTGAACTACAGTTCCCAGCAGCCTTCACAAACTGCAGTTCCCAGAAGACTTGTGTGTTTTAAGTGTACGGTGTGTGTACAAACCGTGATCCACAAGTGGTGCATAATGGGAATACGTATCCCCTGTTGTTTGTGCTCTCATCTGGTAATTAGAGATAAACAGAGTTGTAGTTAATAGGCTTGTTCTACACTTGATACACAGTATTTCCACAGAGCAGGGGTAGTAGAGTGAGAAGTCACTGCCAAGTTATGTTTTAAGGTGGTGAATAACAGCTGGCTGCTCCTGATGAGATTGTTGTAATTGTTCTTTAACCATCTGTGGCCCTGTTGATTATGTAGAAATTTAGCAGTTCTGCATCATGTAACAACTGGGTTGCTTCTTCATGCACTTTATGTATTTACAGTAACTTTTTGTACAGTACTTTGTCAGTTTCTCTGCCCTTTACCTGTCACACTTTCAATCGTCAGGGTAGTTGATATCAAAAGGATTGTGTGTGTGGTAGTTGAGCAATGATTGGTTGATTGGAGGGATATTGCCTGGGTAGTGTGCATAAGGAGGAGTTAAGGGTGCCACTGTTTGTGGGTTTGTGGTGGAGGTGGAGATTATCAGAGGAGTAGGGGACACAAAATATTTACTATCTGTACAATTCTTCAGGCCCCCCGCCCCCTAGTCTTTCAGTATTGGACTATCATGATAGCTGACCCTTCCAACTGCTGGTGTTTGTGAATGTTAAGCAAGGCTCACACGGCACCTGAAATAATGAGTATGTATACTCAATTACGATTGGTTCATTGGCTACAGCCATTCTCGGACTAGGTTAACCTTGCTACAGTAATCAACGCTCTGTTAACCTCCTAATTGGACTGTACATTACAAGGGGTTGCTCTTGGGCAGAATCCAGAGCCTGCAGCTAGTTCAGAATGTGACTGCCATTTGCTATCTGGAGAAGCAAGTTGGGATCCTATTGCACCAATCCTGAAAACAGTGGACTGGCTGTCAGTGAGTTACTGGGCCCAATTCAAAGTGCTGGTACTCATGTATAAACCCTTGAATGGTTTAGAACCCAAATATTTGAGTTAACACTTTCCATAGTATCAGCCAAACTGAGTTTTGAGATCTGCAGGGGAGACCCTACTTATGGTACCCTGGATGAGTATTGTCCAGGAAATCGCTGTACGAAACAGGACCTTCTCAGTGGTGGCACCCCAATTACAGGACTCAACCCAATCTCTCAATTTGTCTTCAGTCAAATGGCAATTAACAGTGTTCAACTGCTCAGGAAACTAAATGGTTTGCAGTCCAACTTCTATGGAACAGAAGGCTATCGTTTTGACTGGGTTTTAATGCCACATAGGGGATGGCTAAAGAATGGCAAGATGTCTGTGATGTAGGGAAACAACCCCTTATCCCAGAGCTTTCCAAACCGTGTGTCGCTACACGTTAATGTGTTGGCTGCAGTGAGTAGGTATGTCGTGCGAACGCTCCCCATGCTTCTTCTAGGTCTGGAAAGGGGTTAGTTTAACCCCCAGTTTGCTAGCAAAACTGAATTACTGTGTCGTGAAATGATGTATGTCTAAAAAGTGTGAAACCAACATGAAAACTTTGGAAAGCTCTGCCCTACCTATAAAGTATATTTGGGGAGAGGGACCTGAAGAGGATGTGGCGAGGGGAATAGCAGAACTGGAATGGGCTTAACCAGGGGGTTTATTTTGAACGTGACTTAAGATTTGGGCAGGGACTATATGCTACAAAGGGAAGGAGGTTCAAGGAACAGGGACAAAGTAAGCAGTGTCTGAAAAGCAGGAATCTGAGGAGACATGTTGGAGACATGAAGTTGAGAGAAATATGAGCTAAGTGAAAAGTAGGGTTTATTTGCTTCAGCTGTGAAAACTGTTTATTATTATCTCTTTGTGTGTTTTTTAATCCAGTTACTGCTCTATAAACGATTGCCCATGACTGCCGAGTATTCCTAGAAGTCCAGCCCAAGAATATACTGTCTACCATTTCAGCCTTGCTTACATCTTCATTGACTACCTCAAAGAATTCTAAAAGGTTGGTGATGCAAAACCTTCCAGTGAGGAAAACCAGACTGATAATTTCTCTGCAAAGTGTGAGACTATCTAGCATGTGACTGGTGTGTGCAGTTGTCTTCTTATAGGTGGGGAGAAGCTACACCTGGAGAAAGCTATAGTTTGCTGAGGTAGTACTCACAGTTAAATACTGGAGTTGGTGATCCAGGATCACCATTTTCTAATCCTCTCCTTTAGACAAAATTAGGGTTCAGAATCTGAAACAACCAGAGTTTTGCCTGCAGTAGAAGGCCTTCTCTACCTTTTCTAGGGCTTATCTCCCTTAATAGTGTGTCTCTTTCAATTTCTGGTAACTAAAAGATAATGAGCACTTGTGTGTTTTTCCTTTTGATGTCTAGCCTCGTTTTCCCCCAGCTCTCCCACTTACAGTCCCAGCATAAATCCATTTAACTATACCAATATCCTCCTGTTTATTCCAGCCACCAGTTAGATGAGAATTCTCTACTTGACAGAGACTGCTGCCCATTAACAGAACGAGTTGAATATTTATCCAGAGGTCAAGGGCAGTTTGTGCCTATACACACTTAATTCTGTTTTGTCTTAGTCATGCTTTTGGAGATCTAATTATTCTGTAGCCACAAGGGTAAGCTATACTCTTGCTGAGTATGGTACCTTGACTTAAACTGCCAGTAAAATATTCTACACATCTTGACTGTTAATGAAATTTTATAAATCTTGGCTATCTTTTGTTCTTCTCCACACTACCTATCACCTTGTTGTCAAATGTGACCTCTCAGAGAGGTTGATATTTTTCCTGTACAAGATATTTTAAATCTTGCCTGTCTTGTTAAATCTCCATTCATTTCTTGCAGTAATTCTTTTTTACTATGTTCATTTAATTTTTCAATACATATACAGTGGTACCTTGGGTTAAGAACTTAATTCGTTCTGGAGGTCCGTTCTTAACCTGAAACTGTGCTTAACCTGAAGCACCACTTTAGCTAATGGGGCCTCCTACTGCCGCTGCGCCGCCACTGCACGATTTCTGTTCTTAACCCGAGGTACTATTTCTTAACCCGAGGTACTATTTCTGGGTTAGCGGAGTCTGTAACCTGAAGCGTCTGTAACCCGAGATACCACTGTACTGTATTGTGCTCTGACTAAAGCAAACAGTGGGGTTGAAGCAGATGAAGAGGAGTTTAAAATCAACTTATGTGCCAGTTATAGCTCTATTTTTGTATATCCTTTGAATCCTTTTGGAAAGTTTTTGACTCTGGGTAAGGAATTCAGCAAAATCTGCATATATAATATCAAAATGGATGGGATTTTAACATAGGGAAAGGTATGAAGAAACGTAATTAATACTAAACAACATTTAATTTCTTGGAGAATTCCCCAATGTAATTATTTAGGGATCAGAGTCACAATACAGTGGTACCTCGGGTTACATGTGCTTCAGGTTACAGACGCTGCTAACACAGAAATATTACCTCGGGTTAAGAACTTTGCTTCAGGATGAGAACAAAAATCGTGTGGTGGCAGCACAACGGCAGTAGGAGGCCCCATTAGCTAAAGTGGTACCTCAGGTTAAGAACAGTTTCAGGTTAAGAACGGACCTCCGGAATGAATTAAGTTCTTAACCCGAGGTACCACTGTATTTGAAATGGGAACTGTAGTTGCTCCCAAGACTTCCAGATACAGTGGTACCTCGGGTTAAGTACTTAATTCATCCCGGAGGTCTGTTCTTAACCTGAAACTGTTCTTAACCTGAAGCACCACTTTAGCTAATGGGGCCTCGTGCCGCCGGAGCACGATTTCTGTTCTCATCCTGAAGCAAAGTTCTTAACCCGAGGTACTATTTCTGGGTTAGCAGAGTCTGTAACCTGAAGCGTATGTAACCTGAAGTGTATGTAACCCGAGGTACCACTGTAGTTGGTAATGCCTTATACCTCATAAAGACACTGGCCAGGGGCTGTTTGCATAAGAAATTTCTCTTGGTTATGGATAGTCCTAACCTTTCTGTGGTACTAAGGAGGGCTGCTGTTTAATATTTTAACAGAGTATGCATAGAATTTCTTTGGAATGTATAGCAATTACCTTAGCAAAGATTATGCTGTAGATTCCATACATGCTGAGTGTACGATATGTGAACAACAAGGTAATAAAGTCCTCCCTGCCCTCTGTGTATTTCTGTGGCTGAAAAGTCACAGTGTGATCCAGTTCATGCCAAAGTTCATAGCATGAACAAATAAATAACTTGTTCTTTGGAGAGTGGGATTTTCACAGAATTTCCCAGCCTCTTTTCTTAGTTGCATTCCTTTGAATCTAATAGTTTCATTTTTCAGGCACACCTTGAGACTCTGTATAACACACACACACGTGCATATATCACCAATTTATAGGTTTCTAATTTGTAAAACTTGTGGAGACCACCAGGTTTTACACCAAAAACTGGTATCAGTCACCACAATTCCACCTTGCCATCATGGCCATCACTCATGTGCCAGGCATGTGCCACTCATTCTGCACATCTTTATCCTTCCTGGGCCTCTGTGTGTTTGTGCCAAAATAGCCATAGCTGGATAAACTCTGGTTGCCTGACACGCACCATTTAAGCGCTGTGCCCCCTCAATCTCTTCTAGGGGTTCCCTCAGTCCTCCGGAGCAGATTTGAGGAGTTCACAGGAGAGTTCTTTAGTGCAAGTGGATATGGTTGTGCTGATGGGATGCATTATTGCCCTTCCTATGGCAATAGCACCTGTTTATTTAAAAAGAAAGTGTGCAGAAGTTGCATTTCCTACCAGTGTCTTGCAGTGGTGGCGGGGCTTCCTCTATTTCACATAGGAGAATGGGCAGGACAGCTAAACCATCAGGGCAAGAGTTAACACAGATGCAGCCTTTCTCAAAACTTTGTAGCTTTTAAAAGGGCAGTCGCCATCTCCAGGTGAACACACGTGCCAACCATAATCCTTGGTTTTATTTGGGTAAACCATGGAGCTCATGCACTGACCTGCGGATTCCTTTTCTACTCTGCAGTAAAATGGCAGCCAGTGTCACCACATTTAACATTGACATACCTCGCTGGGACCAGAACACTTTTATGGGGCGTGTGAAGCACTTTTTCAACGTCACGGACCCAAGGACACTGCTGGTGTCAGAACATGAACTGGATTCAGCAAAGGCATTGGTGGAGACCTGCAGGTAGCCTGGGCAACTAACATTTGGGACTCTTGCATGATCCAAGCATAGATCGTATTCAGGTTTATTCACAAAACTGGTGGCACAGTGTCCATGTTACTCTAGAGTCTATTACAGAAAACGTGAATACCTGAATACATTTTCAAACCTTGATCTGATGAGAGAGGCAACACTTTAACAGAATTTCTCTATCCTGGACCTGGTGTTGAAAAAATACCATAAAGGACATGTAGGGATTTAGACACTGTTGTTTGGTCCCAGCTCCTGCCCACCTAGCAGTTTGAAAGCACGTCAAAGTGCAAGTAGATAAATAGGTACCGCTCCAGTGGGAAGGTAAACGGCGTTTCCATGCGCTGCTCTGGTTCGCCAGAAGCAGCTTAGTCATGCTGGCCACATGACCCGGAAGCTGTCTGCGGACAAACACTGGCTCCCTCGGCCAGTAAAGTGAGATGAGCGCCACAACCCCAGAGTCGTCTGCGACTAGACCTAACGTCAGGGGTACCTTTACCTTTTTAAGAATATGTGTGTGTGTGTGCCTGTGCGTCTGTGCGCTCTGTGAGAGTGTTTCTCCCAGATTCTCAGTGCTTAACTTTGTAGCAGAGGGAGGGTGCTGCTATTCAGTTTGGAGGCTCGAGGTATTAGAAAAATGGTGCTGGAACAGTTACTTCTTTCTCATGCCTGCAGGGCAGGCATTGTGCCTCCAGGAACCAACCAAGAGCAGCTGTTCTATGCCAAGAAGCTTTATGACTCCGCTTTCCACCCTGACTCTGGTGAGAAGATGAATTTGATAGGGAGGATGTCCTTTCAAGTCCCCGGGGGAATGGCTATCACAGGCTGCATGCTGCAGTTTTACAGGTACGAAGGGAGGAGTGTTGTTTCAGGAAGTTGCTTTTGTGAGACATGGAATACTGGGTGTTTATTCCTTTCAAGCGTTGGTGATCTCAACTGAATTTTGAAATCTGTTCCTTATCGTGCCTGCGCTACTTTCTCCCATTTTTACTCCTGTTCTAGATCGGTCTTCAAGAGGTGCTACATTAACAGTGAAATGTTTTTCAGGCAATTAATCCTTAGCACTGTGCACCTGCTATTTTATTGCAGAAATTAGTAGCAGACACTAACTGTAACTAAGGCTGCAATCCTAATCCCACTTGGGTGTGAGCAGGAGCCATTGAATTAAATAAGATTTACCTCTGAGTAGACACAGGTAGGATTAAACTGTAAAGGAGACTTCCGAGAGGATTTGAACACAGGCAGAGTCGGTGCATGGGCTGAGCAGACAGACAGTGCACTCACAAAGTCATATCTGTGTGCAGCCAGTGCTTTTAAAACACCATGGCTTAGCTCAGCTGAACAACCAGGAGCCTGCACGTTTGCTTGTTCACTGTAAGTCCTGCTTTAGCTTGGTGTTGCATGCAACTAAAGGCCAAGTCTGACAAAGGTGAACACCTTGGGCCAGAAAAATGATAACAGTGGTGTCACTTTTGGTTATTTAAATGGATGCACAATCCTATTCTGGCTTCTGGATCTTTTTTCTCTCACTCCCTTCCCTACAGGACAGTTCCAGCTGTAGTTTTCTGGCAGTGGGTGAATCAGTCTTTCAATGCCATTGTGAACTACACCAACCGGAATGCTGCCAGCCCCATCTCCCTCAAGTGAGTACCTGTTTAGGGTTACCTGATGGCATGAGGCAGGATTCACCTAACCAACCCCATCAACAGAAGGCCTTCCACACAGCGGTGCTTCCCCCCTCCCTCTTCCCCTGTACAACCCCTGGAATTGGCTCTGGGAAATGGACAGGAGAATATCCAGAATAGCATGCAAGGAAGGAGGGGGATGATTCCATCTGGAGAGCAGGTGGAACAACTGGAAGTGAGCAACACTGAATTTCATTCAGTCTTTTAGCATGTCAGGCTTGTTGTCTGGCTTAAGCTAGGATTTGCTCTATCAGCTGGAATAGTTTGACTACATTGGCAGGAAGCGCCCTCTGGGGAAATCGGATGATGCAAACAAATTGCTATGCATCCATTTGTCATAGTAACCCTATCAAGTTGATAGGGTACTTGGCACTTCTGAAACGGGCTCCAGTGAACAGAGCTTGGTGGTACTTTTGGAGTGGCAGAATCAAAGACCTCATTTCTTATTGCCCCTATGTGTGATATTCATAGCTTATTCACATGGATGGCTTAACTTCAGACTGTATGATGGTAGATTTTTACCCAGCTGAAGTGGAGAAGAGGCTGTTATTAGGCAACTTGATGCTCTGTCTACAGCAATAGACTTCATGGTGGTTCTGTTTCCCCTCCCATTGGATCACAGAGCTAGAGTTGGAAAGATTCTTGATGTCTTGTGTCTATTGGAGAGCCAACAGTGTAGGGATGGCAGGTAGTGAATAAGCCTGCCACAGTAAGACCACACTGGTGGTGTGGAGGCGTCCCTCTGTTGCACAATTCATGAACTGAGATGGACAGTCTATATGGACCTAACTTGTTTACCCTTTGGATGATTCCAGGCAAATTGGAGTTGCTTATTTCACTGCTACCAGCACTGCCTTGGCAACTGCCGTGGGACTCAACCTTTACACCAAGGTACCGTAGGAAAATGCTTTGTTCTTCTAACCACAAAGGGGCAGCAAGGCTGCAGGCGGGGAGGCAATCTTCCTCCAGTGTCTTCGGAGCTGTGGAAGTGTGATTGTCTGCTTCTTATGCATCAGCCTTGGGAACTGTACAAAGGGATAATTGGAAGGCTCACCATCCTGGACACAGCTTATTTTGGCTGTGAGATGTGTCCCATCCCTTCCTTCCTTCCTTCCTTCCTTCCTTCCTTCCTTCCTTCCTTCCTCCCTTCCTCCCTTCCTCCCTTCCTCCCTTCCTCCCTTCCTTCCTTGGCTTCAACTGTTGTATGTTATTGTAAGCAGATGTGTATTCATTATAAGAATTTGGGAGAATTGGAATAACTCTTGGTATTAGGCATACAGGGCCTATGGTATCCATAGCATAGGCACTGTGTCCTTCCTGAAAACACACACAGAGTTCTGAAGATCTGGTCCTCCTCCTAATTGCACTCCTGTCTCCTTGCAGAGAGCGCCATCCCTTGTGGCACGCTGGGTCCCCTTTGCAGCGGTAGCTGCTGCCAACTGCGTCAACATCCCCTTGATGAGGCAGCAGTAAGTCTCTAGGTAGAGCTCAAGTGGCCTTTTAAGGCGGGAGGGGTGAAGGGGTGAGCTGTAATGTCATGATGCTGTGCTCTGCTTGCCATCCACAGCCCAGGCCTTTGCTTCAAAGAAGGAATTCTGCTTTACCTAGCGGTAAAGGCATTTGCCTGGGAATAAGGACACCTGAGTTCTCCCCGCTCCTCCAGTATCTAATAATAACTCACTTGCTCACTCATACAGCTGCTTTCCAAAGTCACTGCTGATAGCAGACGAGGCAGCAGGGTAAACAAACCAGAAAGGAAGCTCCATTTCCTTCCCAAAGTGTATTTACTTCTCTGGAGGTGATTGGGCCTCCATTTAAACTACAAGTCTTAAAATCCTGGGCATTAGGTATCTAAACACAGACACATTGAGTGCTGAGTCAAAAACATGATGGGTGGGACCATTTTTGTTGATGAAAACGCAAACTGATTTCATATAGTGTGTCATGGAGTATGTCCTAAGATGTGGGTGATAAGTCCTTGTTGTTCTTTCAACATCCTACTATTTTTCACCATTTGCACTACATTTCCGTGTGTGTGTCTGTGTGTGTGTGTTTGTTTGTTGTGTGTGTGTTTTTAACCTTCAGACACAAGTTTATACTCATTGAAGAGCTATAAGCTTTTGCATGATAGGTGTGGACAGTAGTCTTACACTGTTGCTCTTCCACTGTTGAAATGGTTTCCTGTCTCCCCGGACAGTAAACTTGCATCATTCCACTTACTTCCTGTACATTTTGCTAATATTGTATAACTTCTCTTATCCTCAGCTGAACTTGCATATGTTATGACCCTACAAACCAGTTTCTTTGCAGCAGCATCCCAAGGTCCCTTGCTCCCTGCCCTGCTTTTTGTGTGTGGAAATTAATTAGATTCATGAATTCTCTATATAGGTGCAGTTTCACAAATTCAGCATTTATTAAAAAACAACAGCAAGCCCAAAACATGAGCCACAGTCCCTGGAGGAAGAAGCATGCACATATATAGAACATGTGCAGAGGTTAGGTACCCAGACACAAATGCAACATAAATGCTGTCTAGATGCATCCTTAAAGCAAAATGCAGAAAAATGACAGCTAATTATGTGGATTTGGCTGGTTGGTTCTAACCTATTCAATGGAAAATCAGTCCTACTGCCATTTTGAGGTCACCTCTTCTCACATTTTCCCAGCCCATAACCCCGTATACTACAATACTCTGTTTTCTTTGTTCACTTAGAAAATAAACAGTTGGAATAGTTTAAAACACAATGTCAATTAGTATTATTTACCAGTTGTTAAAATGAGAGCACAAACCAGAGTCGGATACAATTTTAATATATTGCCTAAGGACTAAGTCAGCAGGGTAATTGAGGCATCAGTGATTCAGAGACAAATGGGAAAAAATCAGTTCTACTAGGCTGAATTCTCATTGCTCTTTATTTTGGATTTGATGAGGTAATCATTATACTCTGATTACACAAAATATAAATCAAATTTTCCCCATGATTGCCTTTTTACTTTTATGTACAACCAGTGATGGTTAAAGGGAAATAACTTGGCTTGCAATGAACTTAATTTCCATGTGAATGAGATTGCAGCAGCCACCCTTAGTGACATGGGCAAAAACAATTAGACACATGAAATACAGAGCACAGGGCATGCAGACCCGACCTGCCCAGAATAAAGAAATGCAATGATGGACATTAAAACAAGTGGTAGGCCCCAGGTAGAATGCATACAGAAGTCAAACCTTAAGATTACAGAAATATGTTAAAATTCTGCTCTGCTTACTGCTGGTTACGCAGTTGTAGTGTGGTTTTTAATGGCTGTGTAGTTTGCTATAAAGAGAGGTAATCTATTCCTGCTCACAGCCACAACCATCAAGCATCCATTTCAAACACTGAGCTCCTTCTTGGCTCTCTGTGTCACCAGAGTACTCTGATACCCCAGCTCCATTCTGCCTCTGTCTGCAAAAATGAAATGGGCTCACAGTAATGCTTGAGATGTCACCTTCTTATTGAGCCAGAAACTAGTTGCAAGATGTTTTCCGTGGCTTTTGTTGATAGATTTCCCCCTTAAATCAAGGGAAAATGTTGCAGTGATAGGCTTCATTCAAATGGAGGCAACTTTTTTAAAAAAGAAACTATGAACATAGTGGATAAGCACTTTGTCCAGGCGTTTAATTTGCTGGAGGGGGTACTACAAATGCTTCCTTTAGTTATCCAGATGTGTTCCGTCTTCCATATAAATATTCAGATGAATATTTGGAATAAATCATTTTATTACGGAAATCCCATGACTCTTTGGAGATATGTATGCAGGGTTTTTTTGTTAATGGGGGCCACTAGGCGGCAGCAGTGCACCATCAAATTGGTTTCAGATGCTTTGTTGTCTTGTGAGATACACCATCTCAGCAATAGGATGCTCCTCATACTGATGAAGCACAGTAGCCTGCAAGGGATTTAAGAGTTTTTAGAGTATATTACCATGAGACCCTCCAGTGTTCTGTGAGCAGATTTTTCCTAATTCATTAGTGAAAAACGGAGCCTTGGGTTTCCAAAACGAGAGAGCATATCAGCACAAAACAAGCCATGTGATTGGGAGGAAGATGAGGTGAGGGTTCAGATCAGGAGGATCAAGTAACTCCACAAACACACATTAAGTGCCACAGTTGTTTGGGAGTAGTTCTGGGGAGTGGAATATGTTGAGAGTGGGGGGTGGGGGAGTCAAATGTGGGTAGGCCTCTATCCCTTTTCACTTTCTCTTTCTCTCACCCTCTTTTCTCTTTGCCCAGCAGGGTAGGGAAGTTGCAGGACCTACCTTGCCTTTTACAGTGGTACCTCGAGTTACAAACACCTCAGGTTACAAACGCTTCAGGTTACAAACTCCGCTAACCTGGAAGAGTTACCTCAAGTTGAGAACTTTGCCCCAGGATGAGAACAGAAATCGTGTGCCGGCGGTGCAGCGACAGCCAGAGGCCCCATTAGTGAAAGCAGTTAAGAACAGTTTCAAGTTAAGAAAGGACCTCCGGAACGAATTAAGTTCATAACTAGAGGTACCACTGTATATAGAACCCCAAGGTCCACGAACTTGAGCGAGCTACAAATGGAGGCTTGGGGGATGTGTGTACACTCAGAACTAACGAACCAGAGTGCCTCTGGGTATGTGGTACCTGAGCTAAGCTCATACTCCTTTCATACACAAACACGCCCGTTACAGCTTTCTGCCTCAAGGTTTGTTTATTTCAGCAACTTAAGTTAAAAGGGGTGAGTGGATTTCTTGCTGTTTGGAGCTGGGACTCACTTGCTGATCTGCTGCAAATTGACTGTAGCTGTGCCAGTCGATTCTGACTGTCCTATAACCAACTCTTTTTTTTTTTTTAAATGATATTTATTCCAAATTTAAAGTTACAAAAAAGAAAAAGAAAAACCATACAAAATACAAAGAAAGCATTAGCCGTAACAAAGCAAAAAATAAACAAGTAAAAAGAACAATGAGATAGAATAAAAAAGAAGACTTAACAAAAAATATAAAAATACATTGAGTTAAAATAAAACAAAAGCAGATTAAACCTTTACATAACCTTTTCCCTTTACTTATTTCCATGACCTCCTCTCACCTCCCAATTTTGTATTCTAGTTCAAATCGTGTTTCCAGCAAATCCCTCTAACCTTGTTTTCATTTACGTATTTTAAAATTAAAATAATGTAATTAAACCTCCTCTATTTCATCAAATTCATCAATTCATTTTTGCATATTCCATTATATCGTATCTACCCAAACGACCTAATATTCTTTTTCCAACCTCCTTCTACCATTCTTTTATATTGCAATACTTTTGAAGATATATTTTGAATTTTTTCCAATCTTCTTCCATCGACCCTTCTCCCTGTGTCCTATAACCAACTCTAATGCCTCCCCACCAGGGACAGAGGAAGGGGGTGGGGTGGGGGCGGATCACCCTAGGTGCCTTCGCTGGGGGGTGTGACATTTGGCGCACCGCCCGCCTGCGACTCCCAAGCCTACCTCCAGCCGTCGGGGGAAGGGGGGAGCTGCTCTACTTTGCCAGCGGCATTCCTTCATTCCCCCTTCGTTTTGACAGCTGGGGGAGGCTTGGGAGTCACGGGCAGGCAGCGTGCTGAATGTCTGCCATCAACTGCTCGCTCCGCCCCCAGCTGCAGGGCGCGCATGCTGCTCCGTGCACCCAAGCGGCTATCCCGTGCCTGGGAGGGCACCCTCCGCACCCCTCTGGAGTGCGCCCACCCTGGGCAGCGCAGTCATATGCTCCGCCGCTGCTCCCCACCACTGCCCTTATGTCATTTTAAGATAATGGTGGCTTAGGGTTTTCTTGGGATTGGGAATCTGGGTCCTTTTGCTGTTCTAGGCATCCCCTCATGTTTCATTTATTTATTTTATGTATTTATTAAATTGATATACCACCCTTCAACTGAGGATCACAGGCTCGTTTACAATATAAAAACAGGAAATATGTAAAATAATGGCAGACAAAATAAAAACCCCTATGTTTAAATTAGCCAAATTAATTCGCTTAATTAGCCAATGGCCTGGGAGAAGAGGAATGTTTTTGCCTGGTGCCTAACAATATATAATTATGTCATAATTTCATAATTAGAGAGCCTCAGACAATGTCTGAGTCAGACAGAGTCGGTGTCTATTGTTTGCACATACACAAAAAAGTGAAATGTGATGTTCTGAGGATCCACATGTAGCAGAGTCTTGCTATAGTTTCTATCTCCTGTGTTCTCTTTGAGCCGCTCTTCAAGGCTCTCTCTTTCGGTGGTTTGCTGTGAGGATCATGAGAATGAAGGCTGAATATCCTGACCAAAGCAGGGGTGTTTGTTGTGCAGAGGGAAGGAAGAAGCATGCTTCAGATGTTGAGCATGGTGGTCTCAAATGTGTGGATGTTCTAAAGTTCAGCATGGTCAGTTGCAATGTCTAAGACGGTGTGTTTGTGTTTGCATTTAGGGAACTCATAAATGGGATCACAGTGACTGATGAGAACGACAACCCTCTGGGCAAGTCCAAGGTAAGTACCATCATCTCAGGAGTTTGGAGATGTAGAGTCATCATTGCTGTGTTTGGAGGAACAAAGCATTTGGAATTTGTCTTGCTGACAGCCAAAGGAATTGAGAGACCTGGATATGCGGGCACTTCAGGTTTTAAAATGCTGCCCTTTTTGTGTACTTGTGATCTCCCCATCCTAGGGAGGATTTGGGAGTCGGGCACAATATCAGCACTTGGGGGAGAGAGAAAAAAGGGCAACAGGGAGTTGTGAAAAGATGAAAGCTACTGTTATGTTTTTATATATTTTAAAGTGTTTTAAAGGTGTTTTTACTTTTTACTTTATTGTACCACCGTGAACAGTGGTTTTTATCTATGTATTTTTATTTTGTTCCGTTTTATTGTGGTTTGGGGTGGGGATTGGTTTTGTTTAGGTATAATTGTTTTCGGTTTGGTTTGGTTTGCTATTTTGTAAATGGAGGCTTGTATGAGGCTTGGGATTGCTACCGTGGAGGGGCGAGGGAGGTATGGTGGTGGGGGCAGATGTTATAGGCGAAGGGGATCGAGATACGGATATGCTCGTACCCCTTCCAATCTGCGCCCCATCCCGAGGGACGAGGGTAGGGTGAGCAAGGATTACTTACCTCTGTCACTGGTGTTGTGCAATGCCAGGGCTATAGGCAACAAAGCCGCCACTCTGCGAGATTTCTTTACCTCGCAGGGGGTTGACCTGGCTTGTGTGACGGAGACCTGGGTACGCGAAGGGGCAACAGTTACCTTACAAGAGATGGCGCCCCCGGGTTTCTCCGTCCTCCACCAGTCACGGACTGTGGGCAGGGGGGGAGGGGTGGCATTATTAATCCGGGAAGATTGTCCTTTCAGGGCTCTACCATCGCCATCGATCCCCGGCATTGAATGTGTTGGCCTAGTGTGGGGCTCTGAGGTGAGCTTGGCTGTCTGGCTGGTGTACCGGCCACCTAGCGCACCAGCAGCCACCCTGTCAGGCCTGCTGGAGGCGGTGGCCGGCTGGGCCTTGGAGTTCCCTAACCTATTGGTATTGGGGGACTTCAACATCCATGCTGATGCCACTCCCTCCTCACAGGCTCTGGACCTGGTGTCTTCCATGGCAACACTAGGGCTCTCCCAGTTTGTCTCAGGCCCCACACATCAAGCAGGCCACACGCTGGATTTGATCTTTGGCGTAGGTATAGATGTGATCATGTCTCCTTCAATTAAGGTGCCATGGTCTGATCACTACGCTCTGAAAGCCAGGATTGACTTTCCACCCCACCCTGCTTAGGTGGCGAGCCGATTTGGGCTCGCCCGCAGAGGCTGATGGACCCTGATAGATTCCGTCAAGCCTTGCGGGACCTTGCTCCCCCTGGTGACTCATTGACTGAGCTTGTTGAGGGCTGGAATACCCAGCTCCTGGCAGCCATAGATGAGATCGCACCTAAGCGCCCTCTGCGACTCCGCAGAAACCGGGCTCCCTGGTTTACCGAGGAGCTTCGGAAAATGAAGCGGGACCTCAGACGGCTAGAGCGAGTATGGTGGGGTGCCCGTGACGGAGCCTCAAGAACATCTTATAGGGTTTTTATGAAAACCTATGAGATGGCGGTGAAGGCCGCTAAGAAGTCTTACTTCTCGGCCTCCATTGCATCCGCTAGCTCTCGCCCAGCGCAATTATTTAGTATAATTAGGTCTTTAACGTCCCTTGAAGGACAGCCAAATTTAAATAACAATCTGACACACAGCTGTGAGGCATTTGCGAGCTTTTTGCGGAGAAGGTCCTGTTGCTCCGCCATGACCTCCCTGCCAATTTGGATACAATAAAGGAACTGGAGGCCCTCGACTGTCCTCGGGTCCAGTATTGGACCACTTTGATCAGATATCCCCAGCCGATGTGGACAGACTCCTCCGAGCTAGAAAGCCCACCACCTGTCCTCTTGACCCGTGCCCGTCTTGGCTGATTAGAGCGTGTCCAGACGAGGTGCGGGCCCCCCCTGGGGGATATCATCAATTTGTCCCTTGGCACCGGGATATTTCCAGGGGAATTGAAGGAGGCAGTGGTGCGCCCGCTCTTAAAGAAAACATCATTAGATCCCTTAGATCTATCCAATTACCGCCCGGTTTCGAATCTTCCATTCCTGGGTAAGGTGATTGAGAGAGCGGTTGCTGAACAGCTTGGTAGGTTTCTGGATGAAACATCGGCTCTGGATCCATTCCAGTCTGGCTTCCGCGCTGGTCATGGGAGCGAGACGGCTCTGGTCGCCCTAACAGATGATCTCCGCAGGCAGCTGGATCGAGGCGGGTCGGGGCTGCTGATTCTTCTAGACCTGTCAGCAGCCTTCGACATGGTTGATCACGAACTCCTGGACCACCGCCTTGCCGACGTGGGGATCCAGGGCACAGTCCGCTCGTTTCTCTCCGGTCGGGGACAGAGGGTGGCGCTTGGGGGGGAATTGTCATCCCGCCACTCCTTGGTGTGTGGAGTGCCTCAGGGTGCGATACTCTCCCCGATGCTTTTTAACATCTTTATGCGCCCTCGCCCAGCTTGTCCGGAGTTTTGGGCTGGGTTGCCATCAGTATGCCGATGACACCCAACTCTATCTGTTGATGGATGGCCATCCTGACTCGGCCCCAGACACACTGACCAGATGTTTGGAAGCTGTGGCTGGATGGTTACGTGGAAGCCGGTTGAAGTTAAATCCTTCGAAGACAGAGGTCCTCTGGCTGGGACGGGACGATATGGGATTGGGGGCAACTCCCATCTCTTGCGGGGTGCAATTAGTGCCAGCACCGTCCGTTAAGAGTTTGGGTGTAATCTTCGATACCTCCCTCTCTATGGAGGCGCAGATTACAGCTATAACAAAGGCGGCATTTTTTCATCTCCGCCAAGCTAAGCAGTTGGCCCCTTATCTCTCTCGCCCTGACCTAGCCACTGTGATCCGCGCGACGGTCACCTCCAGACTGGATTATTGTAACTCGCTCTACGTGGGGCTGCCCTTGAGACTGACCCAGAAACTCCAGCGGGTGCAGAATGCTGCGGCGAGACTCCTTATGGGGTCTTCGCTGCGAGATCACATTCATCCGGTACTATACCAGCTGCACTGGCTCCCGGTGGAGTACAGGATCAGGTTTAAGGTGCTGGTTTTAACCTTTAAAGCCCTATACGGCCTAGGACCCTCGTACCTACGGGACCGCCTCTCCTGGTATGCCCCACAGAGGAACCTACGGTCTGCAAATAAAAACATCCTGAAGGTCCCAGGCCTCAGAGAGGTTAGGCTGGCCTCAACTAGAGCCAGGGCTTTCTCGGCTGCGGCTCCAATCTGGTGGAACGCTCTGTCACAAGAGACTAGGGCCCTGCGGGACCTGACATCTTTCTGCAAGGCCTGCAAGACAGAGTTGTTCCACCAGGCCTTTGGTCAGGGCCCAGCCTGACTCCCTCCTCTGGCAACCTGCACAGAACTTTGCTTAACGGTTGCCATTAATTTGATTTTAATTAATTTTTATAATGAAATGTTTTAGAATGTTGGATTATTTGATTGTTTGATTATTTGTTTGTTGTTAGCCGCCCTGAGCCTGGCTTTGGCTGGGGAGGGCGGGATATAAATAATTTTTATTATTATTATTATTATTATTATTATTATTATTATGTCTTAAAGCTGGGCTTTTGGAACCTGTGGCCCCAGGCCTAATTAGGCCTGCCAGACCTCTGCATTTTGCCTCTCAGGCCGCTGCACCCAAGCCATGCCTACCTGTTCTACACCTGTTGTCATATAAGGCATCAGATGTGGGGCAGCCAATGACCTGGCTCAGCCAAAATTATTAGTGTCTGCAAAGCACTCTGCAAGACCCGACTGCTGGCTGATGGCTGGGTCTTGCCGTGCCCCTTTCAAAGTGCTCCACAAGATAGCACTTTTGCAAGGGGCTTTGCCTACATGTCAATCATGGCCAGCAAGAGGTGGAAGAGAGAACAGTCTGACCTGCCAGCTGGATCCAGATCCCCACCTCTGACTTTGAGTAGGCAGGGGGAACCTGCAGCTCTCTGGATGTTGCTGAATTCCCAACCTTCATCAGCTCCAACCAGCATGACCATTTATCAGGTATAATGGGAACTGTAGTCCAGCTACATCTGGAGGGCCACAGGTTCTCCATCCTTGCCTTAAAGATTTATTTGTGCGCATGTCCAATAAACTTTCATAGGCCATAACCTTTCATGGGGAAGTGTTGGCTGCTTCAGATAAGTGACTTTCGGCATCCCAAGAGAACCAGACCTATCTATCTCATGGAGTTGGGGTGGGGTCACTGGCTTGCACTACTGCCTGCTTATGATTTTAAGGGTTCTTGCTTTACGCTTCTAATCTGCCTTCCGACCCCGAGAGCTGGAGCCGTACTCAAAAATTGCTTTAGCAGGGAACAAGATATGTTTCAGCTTGCATTGGCACACACCGTGCATTCTTCATGACACAGATGTCTAAAGAAAGAACCCAGAATGCAGATGCTATGCAGATTCTTTGTAGGTAGCATTGGACGCTTTGCTATTCCCAGTTCTGCTACAAATAAAGCCCAAGCGGCATATTTTTGTATCTCTTGCTCTGCCGAAACACGAAGCTTGTTGACCTTCAGATAATACTTTCTAAAAGAAACATCCTTAGAGAACAGGCCCCTACTTGCAATCTGAAATCTGGCACAGGGAAAACAATGGAGACAAGGGTAAATAGGGGGAGGACGTGCAGTGATTTCAGTTAGTTACAGCATTCGGACAGCATTCTTCAGTTGGAACTCTGGTGAGACAATGTAAGCCCAGGCAAGAGATGACCAGGGCATAGTTCAGTTTTTGCTGAGATGCCAGAGAGGAAAGGCTGTGTTTCTGCAGTGTTGTAAATCAGGGGTGGGTAACACCCCTTTGCCAAGGGCCACATTCCCCTGGGAAGATCAGTGGGGGTGGGGGTGTCACGCGCAGTTAGGGGGCAAATGTAGTCCTCCTCTCCTTCCCTCTCTTTCTGCCAACCCCTTTTTCTCTTCCTTCTTGTGCAGTGAGCTGCTGGAGCAGGGTCAGATCACTTGCTTCCATTGCTTCATCCGTATGAGCTTCTTCCTTCTCTCTCCCACCAAGGGCTGCAGTTTCCCAACCTCTCTTGTAAAAGGGAGAAGTGACATGAGCTGGCTATAGACTGAATATGAGGAACAAAAGAGAGAGACGTGCCCATCGCTATCTCCCAGTGTAACAGAACAGACAGTGCTGCTGTTGGTGTGGATCCAAAGAGAGAGCAGATTGGAATGAAAGATCAGAAGTTTGGTGTTGCACATGTTGAGCTTGAGATGACTATGATGGATCCCTAAAGAAACATAAGTGACTTGGGCAGCAGTGTGGGATTTGATGAGGTCACCCAAAGGCCGTGTGTCGAGAATAGCAGAGGGCCAAGAGCAGAGTCCTGTAGGGCACCAACAGAGAGAGGGAAAGCAGAAGATGGGCTCACCATTGTAGCAGGAGTAGGGAACCTGTGGATGTTGCTGGCCTACATCTTCCGTCATCCCTGACCATTGGTCATGCTGGCTGGGGCAGATAGGAGCTACAGTCCAACAACATCTGGAGGGCCACAGGTTCCGCCCTCCTGTCCCATGGGAACATCAAGATGCACTGGAGCATTTGTAGCTGATCCTCTTGCTGTTGGAACCATGTTTAATGTATCCCTATTTTCGGTCAGAGGGTTGTGCTCTCTCTGTAGTCCTTCATTTCCCATCCTTACGTATCCTTTCTCAAAATTTAATAGCCATGAAAGTGCCCATCTGAGTGTTGGAGACAGACTTAAACCAAGAAGTCTCCAGCCCAGGCATTTCCCCCCTTTGCCTGATGCCAGCCATTCTGAGATGATTGGTCCTCTATGTGTGTCATCATTTGAAGAACAACATGACTCTTTCTTTCAGAGAGCTGCGATCAAGGGGATAACTCAGGTGGTGGTTTCCCGCGTCGCCATGGCTGCTCCTGGCATGAGTAAGGCAAAGCCTTTGAACTATAGCTTGGCAAGTAGATTATGGGATGGGCACCAAAGATGACACATGGATTATTAATGTAAGGTAGCTTCAGCTGAGGAGGAGGAGGAGGATGATAGGTATGAAGTTTTACCTCCAGTCAATGATCTCTCCTAAGAAACAGACCAAACTATGGTCTGCAAGCTCCACTCAGGAAGATTGTAGAACACTTGAGAATACCTGTACCTTGGCCCTATACTCAACTTCCCTCATTGTCCACCCCAGCTGATTTGTTCTGATCCAGCTGATCGGGGCCATATTTACTGAACAGACTGGCAAGCCCTAGAGCCTGTACTGTATTTTGTTTTACTTTCATAACACTGCATTGGTGTAGTGTACTAATTTTCCCCTATAATTTTACCAGTTCAGGGGCCAATGATTTTCATAATATGGTACTTGTTTTGTTAATGATTTGGGGGGGGGTATTAAAGTGAATTGCCCAATTCACAATTGGCCTTGAGGGTGGGTAGTAGCGAAATTGAGAACCACTGCTCTAGTGAGTAATATTGTGGGCTTTTGAAACTGTATTTCATATGGCTCTTACTATGGTGTTCAGAAAGCAAACTGCTCTAATGCGGAAGAGAGTCATTATGCTAAGACCCCTCCACCCCCCCAATGAAGTCTCTATAATAAGGCCTGTCTCTACCTCGGGAAATCTGAGTAATCCCCTTCCCCATTCCCCTCATCTGTATCTTACAAGCCTAAAGCTGCAAGAGAATACTTTCTGAGCATGTGGCTGCGCGCTGTTTGCTTATTGCACTGCAGAGCTAGGCTGAGGAAGAGCTTTTAAAACTAGTTGTACATGGAAATTTATTCCTCATACTTTAATAGATGGTGTGTGCTAAGAAGTCGCCACTGGAGGAACCTTGCCATCTTTATCTGTTTGGGCATTCTGATGTGGCTAAGTCCTCCTGGACTCCCAACATAAAAGCACTTCAAACCAGAAGAGGTTTGTTGCAGAGTGCTTGAAATATCTTCAGTGCCATAAGCATTTGGACGTGTTTTTATTATAAACCATTTAAAGTGCTGTTAATAGGAGCACCTGCAAATGTGGTGATGAGCTGCTCAGTGAAGAAGCTATTGCCCACTGTTCATTTGTTTGGGGTTTTTGCATCTTGCATACCATTAGTTCCCTTGAGCCAGGATACATGGGCATTATCAAGAAAGAAGAGACCTCCTGGGTGGACTCTAGGGAGAGATATTTTGTGTCTGTGTGGCTTCTTAAAGTCAGGCTGTTCCGCTGCTGAAGTTTACATAGCATGCATACATGGAGTGGCAGAAAAGCGGGGGAGGGAAGGCTCTTTAATATTCCACATCTCTTCTTAGAATAAACCAGTGCTCTCTTTTTCTCCAGTTTTGTTGCCCATCATAATGGAGAGACTAGAAAAATATCCTTTCATGAAGGTAAGTAGCTCTAGAAGTATACCTTAACACCATTTTCTGCCCTCTGTATGGAAAATGAGTACCATTTTCCCAATTTAAAAGGGGGATAGGACGGATCCGCAAAACTATTGGCTGATTGGCTTGCTGGCCATCTTCTCAAAGCTATATGCACAGTATCACCTTCAAAAATTATCAGACTGGTTGCAAAATAACATTATTCATGAATAACAAGCAGGATTCAGAGGAAGACACAGCACCATTGATAAATGTTTTACTCTGAACCATATTGTAAGGAAATAAACTAAGAACATTAAGAATAATCTTTATGTAACCTTTATTGAGCTTTCTGCTGCATTCAACTCTATTAATTGAAACCGACTGTGGAAGAAAGTTCAGATTGCTAACCCTGACTGCAGACTTCTGCTATTGATCCAAGAACTATACAGCAATACAGAAATGAGGATCAGAGATGGTATAAAAGACCGGTGCTTTTAAAATGTCTTGAGGAGTGAAGCAAGTTGCATTCTGGCTTCCACTCTTTTAAATTTTTATGATAATGATCTGTTGCCATATTTAGCCAATGCAAACTCCCTCTCTCCAGTAATTAGAAATAGAAAGCTCTCAATATTGATGTATGCAGATGATTTAGTTCTCCTCTCTCTTTCTCGATTGGGCCTCAAAAATCTCTTGGAGGTGTTCATACTATAAACAGGAAAGCCTATCTATAAATTCCTCTAAGATCAAGATTATGATTTTTGGCAAACACAGTTGTAGGTATAAATGGTGCTTAGATAAGCAAACTGTAGAACAAACTTGCTCATTTATATACCAGGGTATAGTCTTTAGTGAAACCCTCTCTTGGATGTGGCATATGGAAGCAATGAAAGTCTTGGAAGGGCCAAGAGAAAATGGATCTAGTTGTAGCAGCAGAGAATTAGGTTGAATAGCAGAAAAAGCTTGTTCACCATGAGATCAACCAGACAGTGGAACAAGTTTCCACTGTAATGTGGTGGAGTTGCCTACCCACTTTTAGAGTGAAGTAGGGTAACCTGTTTCAGATTGATTGATGCTAGAGAACCTTTAATCAGTGCAGGATGCTAGATTGGGTCTATGGTTATCGCATTCAACCTAAACAATGTCTGATTTCCCACAAGCCTCTATCCTATAGCTTGTCTGTTTGAATTTTACATGGTTTTATCTCTTGGAACAGCTCTGTAAATTTAGCACTAGGGCAGACTGGCTGCCAAAACACTGAAGCAAAACCTAGCCACTTTCTGACTTCCATAGTATGTGTTCAGCATTGTCAGATCCCAACAGAGAAGAGGGCATGGATGGGGAACATGTGGCTCTCTAGATGTTTGATGTACTATTGTCCCCATCATCTGTGACCATTGGCCATGCTTGCTGGGGCTGATAGGAGTTGGCACCCAACTTCAGCTGGAAGGCCATGGGTTCCCACCGTTGTACTAAGGTATGAAAGTTTGGTTTCTTACTTTCTTATCTGTTGCTTTCTTGGCAGAAAATCCAGGTTCTCCATGCTCCATTGCAAACGATACTTGTTGGAGGGTTGTAAGTATTATGTGTGTCATATTGCCTTCATGAGTACTAACCTAAGGCACAGACGGCAAAACTAAATGTGGTGGGTAATGGGTATGGTATAAAACAGCTCTTTGGATACCCACAAGAGACTTTACAGGTTACTTCTGTAGCACAACAGCTGTTGAGTGACCAGGTGATTTCAGATGAGGAAAAGCAATGGGGAGTAGTCAAGATGCAATACTAGCGTTTCTGTCTGAAAAATTCTTCCATGTGTATGGCCTCTCTCTTAGCAGTTTTGAAGGTGGAATAGCAATGCTGGGTTTGCTGTCTAGAAAAAAAATTGAACCTTATTTCTAACCGTCTGCCTTTGCCTTGTAGCCTTGTGTTCATGGTCCCGATTGCCTGTGCACTCTTCCCACAACGAAGGTACAAGTCTTAGCCCTCTCTCTTTTTATACATTCTCTCTGTGACTTCCCTATACAATTCTGGTATCTTCCTGGCTTGGGAGGGCAGCATTGCCACATGTCTTCAACCACATGTGCCTTCAGCTGATTGATATTTGCTCATCATTTTGTGAGCAGGCATAGTATAATTTAATAATTACTTCATCTTTCCCACACAGGAATGATTCATGTTGGTGTGCAGCCAAAATTGCAATTCACTCCTGTGCCATGTTTACTCTAAAATGAAATCCCACAAGTTCAATAGGACTGGCTTCCTAATTGGTGACACTGAATTTCCTTGAGAAAGAAGCCAGCAGAAGGATTCTGGACTAACTAAAGAGCTTCTCTGGCCTCTTAGCTTGGAGTGGGGGGCACTAAGTGTGTGGCTCTTTAATTCAGGGTGTTCCCTCTGCGCTTCCATACACAAGCAAAACTGTAGACTCTGTACATAACTATTTACTATTTACTATATTTACTATTTACTATAACATTTACTATGGCACTGGTTCCCAGACATTTTCTAAAGAAACGCACCCACAACATTTTGTCTTTGACTGGGACTTATGTGTCAGTTCCACTCAGGATGGGTTTTGCAGACAAGCCTTGCGATGCACACACATAAATATGGAATCTGCCATGTGGCCGAGTTTGCAAGGGAGTGTATTAAGTGATTCACTTAATACTGATTTCGATATCTGCCTCCATTTTTCTGTTCTTACTCTTCAGGAGAACAAAGGCAAGGGCAGTTTTGCTGCCAGCTTGAAATCCATGTTGCCTAGACTCTCCTCAGTGCTCTAGAAACGTGACACAAAGAGCCTGGCAGCAAGTGCAGCTGCAGACTGGCTCTCCTAAGCAAGCCTCTGCTTCATCAAACTGTTCAGTTAAAATTTACAGCTAGCACCAGGAAAGCCGATTGTGAATGGTTTCTTTACCCATAACAGGTGCGTAGCCAGTCCTTGTCCCACCTGCTAGACTACAGTTCTCTCTCCATTCCTTTAGGGGAGACCTGGCAAAATTAAGTGACTTGCCCAGAATTATAGAAAAGTAGTGCGTGGCAGGGTACAAAATTTCACGTGACTTTTTTTGCACCTAATTGGCTCCCATTCCCATGTCACTTTATATTAGGCAGCCTTGAGCTACATAGAGGACCAAGTCTTTTCTTCTTTTCCTTTCCAGCTCCATTGCCCTTTCACATTTGGAGCCTGATCTCAGGCAATCGATTGTGGCCAGACATGGAGACAATGTGCCTTATGTCTATTTTAACAAGGGATTGTGAATGAAGCCTCTATCTCGGGAGCTGCCTGGACCTGCATTCGTGCTCTGCCTTTGAGCTTCCGAGAAGCGTCTGGTTAGCCATTGTGAGAAATGGGGTGCTGGGCTAATTGGACCTTTGGCCTGATCCAGTCTGGCTGTTATGAAGCTCTTAGCTGTACAGCACTCCTCACAGGGATAGGTGTTGTAACCTCACTATGGATTTTTCCTCCACCTTCCCGGCCATATAGTTCCTGCTCCGTTCTGATACGTTATCTGTGTTCTATGCAACTTTGGGATTTCCAACTGGGTGCTGCATTTTGTCTTTCCAAGGCAATCTCTGCCAAACTTATCTTTGTCAAAATCTTTCTTGGTTCCTAAAGGGTACAAAACCTCCAAATAGATGTGAAATGGGGAAGTTACTGTGGGCTTCACACTGGATGACTCAAAATCAAAATATAGGTCTGTATCACTATGGTGTTGATTTGCTCATGTGCCTTCAGATGGACCAATTTCCTCTGCTTAATCATTAAGATAAATCATGTAAAGGTAGGTGACTTGGGGTCAGTGTAGGAAATTATCGTTTAAGCACACCCTGCAAAAGGTGGTCAACTTGTGACCTCCATGTGTTGTTAGATTCCAGCTCCCATCAGCTGTAGCCAGCATGACCAGCTGTCAGAGATGATGGGAGTCATAGTCCACCAGCATCTGGAAGGCTATAGGCCCAAACTCAAGTCAGTCAAGAGAATGGGACTAGAATAATGTTTCTGCCACCACTGCTTTTCAAGAACCACAGTGGGACATATATTTTCTATGCATGCACAGATGGGCTACTGGGGAGAGAGGTGAATGTGAAATCTGTTTTCTTTTTTCATTTGGAAAGATGAGCCTATATGTTCTGCCTCCCCAGTATTCCTTTCCAGAGAAAAATAATATTCCACCAGCTCATGCAGTAGCAACCTAGTTCTCCCTGAGTACTTTCTAGGGGTGGTGAATTATTTTCAGCCCAAGCACTTAGAATCATAGAATTGTAGAGTTGGAAGAGGGACCCTGAGGATCAATGCTGGAATATGCAGCTGTCCCATATGTGGATTTAATCCTACAACCTTGGTGTTATCAGGACCAACCTCTAACCAACTGAGCTGTCCACATTCCCTTCTGGTCAACCTGCTGGGGCCCACAGGCCAGTGGTGGATGGAGCCAGAGATGAAAGTGGGCAGAGCAACAAATGTAAAGCACACCTTTTCACTATAGGCTAGGGTCTACGCACACACAAACCTCCCCCCTCCAACCAGGCATGCAAGAGGCAGTGTAAGAGTTCAAGAACACATTCCAGACAGGCAAAAACACTCAAAGAAGGTGGGGAGCAGGGCAGGGGATGGTGTGTGACCTGGGAAGATTCTCAAAGACCAGATAGAGATCCAGAGGGCTGCATTTGGCTCTTAGGCTTCAGGTTGTCCATCCCTTTGTCTGGCCTGTACCACTTTAGAGTGTAGGTGAGTGTTCACATAACTGAATGCTTCTCTGTACAAAAAACACAGATACACCCACATGCAGCACAGAAAAATAACATGGGTAGTGTAAGGCTACAAAGGTCCCCAGAAGAACATTCATTATGTGTGTTCCCCCACCTGTGCTCTGAAGTAATTTCCAAACACAGGTTTGCCACTTTATTGAGAAGTGCAAGTTGCCCAGTTTGCTTAGGCTAGTATTAAGACTGACTCTAAATAGTTGACATTTCCCATGCTGATTCTTTGGCAGCACCCGGGGTTAACAGAAAAGCAGCTATGGGGCCTACGTGTAGACACATGCTGTCCGTGCAGCTGGTTAAGGATGCAAATAGCGCATATTTTCTACCTCTCCCAAACCAGGGTGTTGCACTGTTCTGGATACAACACACATCTGATGCTCCCACTCACTCAGGTGTAAGTTGAGCAGGTCCTTTACTGAAATCTTCTGTCAGCAACATACTCACCAGGTGGCTTTAGGTGAGCCTTAGTCCTGCATCTCAGCCTTCGACCCCATCTCCAACCCATAGGTGATAATACTAACCAATCTTGAAGTTAACTGTTGTAATGATTATTGAGATAATGTGTGTGAAGTATTCTGAACACTTGAAATGTGCTCTTTTTAAATAGTAAATACTTTCATTATGCAAATCAAGTTATTGCATGCAGAAATTAGAATGCTTGATGGGCGGGAAGACTCTCATGCAAGGTATTCATTTAAGGTACATGTGCCAAATTATGATGAGAGTCTGTCCCTTGTTGGTAGATATTTTAAGCAGCAATTTATTTTAAGGATCTGATTTGCCTTGCATTGAAAATGACTGTTTGAATCCAGGAGCTTACCGATTTTTATATGTGTTTTACTATTTTTATGTTAAATGTTGCCCAATTGTGTATGTATATTTGTTTATGCTGGTGCTAGCCAAAGTCTGCCATATTGGATGGCAAAGTATTGGAATATTTTTTGCTTTTTGCCATTCTTGGAATTGTTCAGGATGAACTGACATTCAGTGTTGCTTATTGGGTCAAGAAAAGCTCACGCCACTAAACCTGCCAGGGAAAGGCTTTGTTACATGTACGGGAAAGACAACAGAATAAAACTTAGAAATTGTCCCTGGCTCTTCTCTTGTAAACATTTGGAGCCATGAGTCCTTTCTGCTTGTGGTATTTATTCAGCTGTGTGGCTTAGGCTTCTGTAGAACCTACAAACCCATTCAGCCCACTGTGAGTCCCTCAGATGTCTTGGACTACGATTCCCATCCTCCATAGGATTGGCAAAAGCCTGATCTAAGCATTGGTGATAAGAACAAATATTCTTAAACTGCTGTTGCTTTCCTTGATACACACAGCCCAGGCATTCCATGATTTGAACTGGTGACATTCACAGAATCTTCAATGCAATATTCTGAGTCATGCTTAATACTCTACTGCATTGGGATTTAAAAATGTTGGGGAACCCTGTGTAGATTCATAGCTGGGGCTTTCTGTAAAGCATGAGAAATCTTCCACTTTCCCAAGTAGTGAAATCTGCTGAGTGACAACATGGAAATCCCCATTGATTTTACTAGGGCTATTATTAGAGTCATTATCTTGGGCTGCTTGTGATATTGGAATGGAATAGATTGAACTGGTTGTGTAAAACAGGTGAGTGGGTTGTGGCAGGCATTTCCAGAAGGATGGTGAGGTGATGAGTGTTTCTGCCTCTACTCCAGAACATTTCCCAGCTGCATCTCCTGCAACCTTATTTTATTTTTACTTTACTTAAAGGTAAAGATAAAGGTACCCCTGACCGTTAGGTCCAGTCGCGAACAACTCCGGGGTTGCGTGCTCATCTCGCTCTATTGGTCAAGGGAGCCGGCATTTTTCTGCAGACAGCTTCCAGGTCATTTGGCCGGCATGACTAAGCCGCTTCTGGCGAACCAGAGCAGCACACGGAAACACCGTTTACCTTCCTGCTGGAGCAGCACCTATTTATCTACTTGCACTTGACGTGCTTTCAAACTGCTAGGTGGGCAGGAGCTGGGACCGAACAACGGGAGCTCACCCCGTCGCAGGGATTTGAATCGCCAACCTTCTGATCAGCAAGCCCTAGGCTCTGTGGTTTAGACCACAGTGCCACCTGCGTCCCTTTTACTTTACTTAGTTTCCTTATTTTCAGCTACACCTCATGCAGCCTTATTTTCCAGATGCTTTATGGACTCACTGTTGCTCCAGCTTTGTGCAGATGTCTGTTAGATATCCCTGTTGCTGTTTGAGGGAGGCCTGGGATGATAGACTGGTTTGTCATCTGTTCTAAACTCCAAGGTCAGCCGATCTCAGACCAAGTGCAAACTGATTTCCTTACTCAAACAAAAGTACTCCCCATCTATCTGACCCTCCACTGAGCTATACAGTTGGATAAGAAGGTTAATTATGAGAGGGTCTGCAATCTGCAGCCTGTAGACCTCAGAAAAGGACAAACAAGATGGCTGCAACACTGCAGTGTAGTAGATGGTAAAGGCCATATATACCACTTGACAGCAGAGGTCATCATTTGCAGCATTGCAATTGTTTTCTGAGGAGCTGCTTGTATTTCTGCTCTACCTGCCAAATATGCTGTAGATCAGCAATTTTTAGAAGACAGAGCTGTACCTCAAGTCTCAATATTTACCTTGCATTGGCTTGACCATTGGTCCACTCTGGCTGAATGTTGCAAGAGCTGATGTTCCCTAACTCTGGTAAACAACCTCCACCTCTCTCCAGCCTGATGGCTGAATTGCTTATCTGCTTCTCACTTCTCTTCCTGTCCCCTTTTTGTAATGAGCTGGTTCGCCCTCTCAGGTTTCCTGGATAGGTTTCAAATTCCACCTGACCTCACTGCCTCAAGTTTGCAATGTAGCTCAAGAGTTAAGTTTACTCCTGCTGCCCATCTTTCAAATGGTTTATCCTTTATTTGAGTGCTCCCTTAAATATTTTTTGAGGCAGGCATAAAAAAGACACACCCCAAACCACTTTCCCTACAAGATTAAGTACCACTGCATGCCCACATGGTATTGCACAGAAACCCTCATCGTATTCTATCCCTGATCCTTTTCAGATAAGTGGAAGTAGATCAATTTAAATCCATACTAAGCAAAACACAAATAGAAGCCAACGGAAACTTCCCTCCTGGGGCAAACAGAATATTTTTCAATGGGATGGTAACAGGGAGGAAGTAAAATGCTCCTCCATGTACACTGTGACTTTGATCTTGCTCAGAGGCCCTCACTGTGGCTATCTCATAATATTTGAAACGCGTATTGGTTGCTTACATGCAATCAGCATCATGTACAGCTTGGTCTCATGGTACAGGGTCTAAAACACATAGCTTTGTTACCTGGGAAGGAGCGGTATCTAAGGGGCTTCTAAGCAGCTTGCAGAGTCCCATTGATTGAATGATAAAGGAAGTAATTTAGACTCCTTTTGCCTCAGAATTTTCAGAGCAGACAAAGTTGGGTATGGGAAGCAGCCCCATTGTCCCCTCCTCCTGGAAAGTGCTTCAGGTCCTTTTGTTTTAAGGCTCTGTATGTGTGCACTGTACCTTTTAAAGCACATCCAAAACACATCATTTCCCCCTCAAAATTCTAGTTTACCCCCCCGAGTTAAAATTCCCAGGAATCCTTAGCAAAATAGTGCCGAATGTGCTTTAAATGCACTTTAAAGGTATAGGTTGCCTACCCACAGGGGTAGGCAACCTAAGGCCCGTGGGCCGGATGTGGCCCAATCACCTTCTCAATCTTGCCCATGGACGGGCCGGGAATCAGCGTGTTTTTACATGAGTAGAACGTGTCCTTTTATTTAAAATGCATCTCTGGGTCATTTGTGGGGCCTGCCTGGTGTTTTTACATGAGTAGAATGTGTGCTTTTATTTAAAACGCATCTCTGGGTTATTTGTGGAGCATAGGATTTCATTCATTTTTTTTTCCAAATTACCGGTATAGTCCGGCCCACCACATGGTCTGAGGGACAGTGAACTTTCCACTCACTAGACTGGGGCAAGGTGAGGAATTGTAGCCTTAGTTTTGCTTCTGGAGTACATTTTAGATTTACAAACCAAGCAGGTTCCATTTCACTTGGGCTGTGGGGGGGGGGGCAGGGAGATCAGTTGACAGACAAAGCATTTCCTTTATTTTCTGGCTTCCTGCAAGTCAAACACAAGAGGTTTTTTGTTTGCTGATTCCCATAGGAAAAACACCCAGGCCAAACCAAACCAAGTCTGGCATTGTGCATACAAGCCGTATCTGTACTCGTATCCAAAAGAGCTGCACAGCCTATCATTAACAAGATAGTACTTGAAACATACACAGTGTGTGCCAATTGTATTTCAAGCTGATGTGCCAATCTCTGGGCTACATGACGCTGATCAGATAGCTTGTTTACAGAAACTTGGCAAATACTAGTTTCATTGTCAGTAGTTGTAGATGACAGGAACGTTTCCTCAAGAACTGGAAGCTAAAGCAGGACAAATTCAATTATGCATCAACTGCAGGAATAAATGTGTAACTACCGAGTCATGTTGAGGAGGTGTCTCTATCCTTTGCAATCCTCTCAATCCCAATGCCCTTCTAAAGAATCAGGGAGTGGAATTACTAGTCTTGCATAGCTATATAGATGTATGTCCCTATAAATGTGTTTTAAATCAAAGCAAGTGGGGATGGTGACATCATTCCACCAAGATGGTGGCTTAGACCATAATTCCCTGCTCCCCACAGATGAATCAGTTAATTTGACAGATCCTAGAATTTGATTTATGGGACGCGGGTGGCGCTGTGGGTTAAACCACAGTGCCTAGGACTTGCCGATCAGAAGGTCAGTGGTTCGAATCCCCGCGACGGGGTGAGCGCCTGTTGCTTGGTCCCTGCTCCTGCCAACCTAGCAGTTCGAAAGCACGTCAAAGTGCAAGTACAGTGGTACCTCGGGTTACATACGCTTCAGGTTACATATGCTTCAGGTTACACACTCCGCTAACCCAGAAATAGTGCTTCAGGTTAAGAACTTTGCTTCAGGATAAGAACAGAAATCGGGCTCCGGCGGCGCGGCAGCAGCAGGAGGCCCCATTAGCTAAAGTGTTGCTTCAGGTTAAGAACAGTTTCAGGTTAAGAATGGACCTCCGGAACGAATTAACTACTTAACCTGAGGTACCACTGTAGATAAATAGGTACCGCTCCGGCGGGAAGGTAAACGGCGTTTCAGTGCACTGCTCTGGTTCGCCAGAAGCGGCTTAGTCATGCTGGCCACATGACCCGGAAGCTCTACGCTGGCTCCCTCGGCCAATAAAGCGAGATGAGCACTGCAACCCCAGAGTTGGTCACGACTGGACCTAATGGTCAGGGGTCCCCTTTACCTTTATCTAGAATTTGATTTGCTTCAGTTTCAGGCATGCCTGACCTAAGATGCATCAAGGATTTCAGATCGTATAAAAATGGGACGCTGCCTCAGTAATAGGCCCTTGAAGTAATAATGTGGGTTTTTCAATGGTGTTGAAAGGAACATTTATGTTGGATTTACGGCTGATATACTGGTTAAATTCAGGACCGATATAGTGGAAGACTGGTCAAAAGCATCAAAACTGGAATAAATTTAAAGGAAATGACATATTAAAAGATTGCAAAGTGAAGACCCTACGCTTGAAGCAAAAGTTGTTATTTGGGCCCTGTCAAAGGAGAAGCAAGAAGTCAGGTGGCAAACTGGTGGACCTCGAGGTCAGTAATCTCCACAATATTCTTAGGGTGACATTGGGTCCTGGGAAGAAGGTTACTGTGGAGACCATAAAAAGCTTAATAGCATGGCTTAATGAACTGTTTCCTGGGTTATATTTATTACTGCAAGATATAGAGCAAGTCTGTAGAATACTTAACCCCAAGCTAAGAGGAGGAAAGATGCCCGGGGATCTGATAGTTGCTTTTTATACAATATGTGATGAAGAAATAAGTCTTTAAAAAACAGCAGCCAGAAGCTTGGAACCACTGGGAGGCACACAAGTCTTTATCAGGATTGGATTCAAAACGTGCTACAATGCAGAGAAAGCTTTAAACCCTACACTGAGCAACAGAAAAGCAGGACTAGGACACCACTGGAAATTCCCCTTTAAACTTATAGTCAGCTTTGATTACCTAGTCTCTCTACGCA